GTCACCTGGCTTCAATATCATTCAATATCTACATGTTCCCCCGTTTCTCTCAACACCTTTTTGCATGCATCTTGTCTCAATATCTAAAGTCCCCCCACCCGCTTCCGGCATTCATTTTCGGGTCCCAAAAATTCCCCTTGCGTCTTTCAGCATTTTTTGCATGTATCTTCATGTATCTTCATTTCGTTTCAATGTCTAGGCTTCACCCCTCATCTCTCAACAACTTTTTGCGCTCATCCTGTTTCAATATCGAACTTTCCCTTTCCCCTATGTGCCCATCAATTTCCTGCATCCATTTCGCTTCATACGTATACTTCCCCCACTGGCCTCGCCACCACTTCTTACGTTTTTATTGTTTCAATACCGCAACTTCCCCGGCATCAACAACTTCTTGCATGCATCTTGTCTCAGTATCTAAATTCCCCCCACCCTGTGCCAGGTCCAAAAAACGTGTGCGGGTTCCAAAAAGAAGGCGCCACGGTCCAACAACATCCAGCCCAATGTGAGCGCCTATAACAATGGAGTTTCCCCCCCACCCTATGGAGGCAAGGTCCACGAAGCAGGCGCACGGGTCCAAAAAACAGAAGCCGAGCTCAGAAAAAATTAATTTGGCTGTCGAAAAAAAATTCCCTGGGTCCAGCACAAATACATGCAGGTCCAAACAAAAATAACCCCACAGGGTCCAGAAAACACACAAGCAAGTCTCCCACATTTTTTGTGACCCTAGGTCCCAAAAAAAATCCGGTTAGGTCCAAAAAACATGTACAGGTCCAAAAAAAGGGTGCCCAGGTCCAAAAAACATGCATCCCATTTTTAATGGGGGGAGTCGGAGTCAGAAACAAAAATAACAAAAAGCGTCCACAGTTTGTATTTGAAACAAATCCAGAATCCCTTGCGCTTTAATGTTGGTTTAGAATTTGAAAATGATGTGGTTATGTGTATTTGGGTGGGTATGTCTGAATCTATTGGCAAGTGCAAGATTCCACACTGACTGACTTCAAGTTTTCAATTTTCAGCCACTCTTCGACTTCGAATTTAGATACCATACTATGTCAAATTTCGGAAACAACACAGCACAAACTGTGGTCTGTGGTCAATCCAGGCCAAGCCAGGTTACGTCCGGTACCATCTTGATGAGCTCAACAAAGCTCGTACCGCTTCCTGTGTGAAAGCGGTTATGCAAATTCACGAGGTACTTGATGATCGCCGGCGGCATCCTGGAACTCAGAACCCTGCATTCGAGCCCTTTCGACAACGTGAGGAGGAGTGACTCATTGCAAGGGTCCTCCGACAGAGCGGCGTAAAAGCTCTCGCTCAGACTGGCAAACGACAATGCCTGGTACCCAGTGACTTTCTCACCGTCAGGACCAATCTCTGGCTGCAACATCCAAGCTTCGCCTCTCACGCCTTCAACAATTCCGTGAAGGCGAAGCGATGCCTTGTAAGCCTGCTTGACACCACTCTGGTAGCGGTTGTTGAGCTCGTGACGGGTGATAGCCCTCTTCCGGGTGGAAAAAGGACTTGCACTGGAACTGTCACCAGACAGGCTGTTGTCACCCAAGAAGAATCTCAGCCTCTGCTTTTCATTGCCAATCTGTCAGGGTCAGGCTAAATCCACTATAAATGGCCATTTTCAATAGCTATGTTAGTTTACCAGAGGGTAACACAATAATAAACTATTCCCCAGTCATCACCATTTTTATAGGTGCTATGTTGACCATTCCCAGTCATGGGTTGTAAAAAATGAGATTGTTTTACCCACATTAATCAGTTTATAGATTGGTTTATAAACCCCATTAACCATAAGTCATATCTACCATAAACCATAGTTAAGCAACTTATATCTGCCATAAACCATATTTAAACCATAGTTAAGCAACTTATATCTACCATAAACCATATTTAAACCATAGTTCGGCAACTTATATCTACCATAAACCATATTTAAACCATAGTTAAGCAACTTATAATCATAGTTCTATGCTTGCTAATCTCCATCTTTGGCTGATAACATCACCATTGTCCCATAGTTTTTCCTATGGTTTTCCTATGAAATCACCATTTTCCCATGGTTTTCCCATGGTTTTCCCCAGGTTTTCCTATGAAATCACCATTTTCCCGTGCTTTTCCCATGGTTTTCCTATGGAAAAATCCATTTCGAAGGCATCGTTGTTGCGGCCTTGCTCCAGGTGATGGGCTCCAGCATGCGCTGCGGATCCGCGCCCCCGAAGGCCACCTGCGAGGGCTCCAGGTCCTGCAGCTCCAGGCACATGATTTGTTCATGAGTTTCATGAGAAAATAATCAATTATATGAATTATATCTATTTATCTATCTATCTAATCTATCTATACATCTAGATATCTATCAATCAATTATCAATCTAGATTCAGGATTAGTTTCTACCCATCCAGCTGGTTAACCCACTTCAAAATCGCCAAATTACATGAAAAATATTCCATTTTTCTTGGTTCAATCACTGGTTGGTGGTTTTAACCATCTTGAAAAATGATGGAGTTCGTCAATGGGAAGGATGACATCCCATATATCATGATTTCAATGGGAATAAGAACGGATCCTAAAATGGAGGTACGTTAATACCATATTTCTGGCCATATTTTGCTGGGATATTCCCTTACATAGGCCTTACATAGGCCTTATATATGGTAGGTACCTCCATTTTAGGATCCTGAAATGGCCATTGATGATTTCCATGGGAACATAATGGAAAGTATGGGAAACACCATCCATTTAGGTGATTTTGTTCGGGCAAATGCTGGTAAATATTCCATAATTACATGGAGCATCTGGGTGATTTGTTCATAGTTTTTTGTTCTGTGGATTCCTGATGTTTCATGATTTGTCAACCGAGTTTTCCATGTGAAAATGTTGGGAAAAGTCCGGGAGTTGATGATTTTTGGGGGAGAAAACTCACCATTCGAAAGGTAGAATTCATCACTCAAAATGGTGCTTTCACCATGAACAAATGGGATTTCATGGGTTTTGATCATGAAGAAATAGATTGCGCTCCTGGGGGTCTCGGGAGTTATTGGGATTCTATGGTGGTTCACGGTGATTTCTAAATCGTCGAACCGCTTTCTCGAGGTTTTCTCGGAAACCCTCACCCGCCGATTCCTCGCTATCAGTCAGGAAGACGCCAAAATGTGGTCGACGGGCAAGGCCGTTGCGTACCAACCTCGGCACATCCCTCAATTCTATGAGGTAAGGCTCCTTAGGTAAGTTGGGTTATACCTCCAATAACTACGGAGTATGGTACTTATACCTGTGTGGCAAAAAATGGGGTTATACACTAACTTATAACCAGGGGGGCCCACCTTCTATGAGGTTTTGATGATTTTCTGCACTTTATCATGGGGTTGTATGATTTCCATAGCATTCCATCTTGATCCTGTCCTCGCATAAATGACTTCCGGTGAATTTGGCACCACATAAATAGATCTGACATTTGGGCACTGACCAAAAGGTGGGGGGCATCTTTTTTCACAAACAAGACCTTTAAGCTACAAAAAAATGGGGGTCACGGAGGCGATAGGTAACCAGGTTTGGTTGCCCAGAGCCATCTGGGGCTCCACAAAATCTAAATTTGGATGCTCACTCCACCCACTGAGTGGATTATAGGCATATGAAAAGTCAGCTGAATATATGGAATTATCCGTACTTGGTTACAGGATGGGGCCCCCAAAATGCCTTATAAGTGGCTTAACTATGGTTTATGGTCAATATAACTATAGTTAATTGTTTTTTTACACCAAAAACAAAACTGAGGGGGGGCAACATCCGGTACGGACTATGTATATTGAATCGCTACTACCTGAAAAAAAATGAGATGCGCCCCACAAGTCGCCACGAAAAACCACCTCTCAACCCCAGTGCCACATGTTTTGGTGCCATGCCGGCGCGCTTCAGCTCTACATCTGATCTATTAAGCCAAGATTGAACAGCACGTTGGCTGGCCAAGCTGTACACCAAGAGTTTCAGATCATAAATCACTGGTTTGGTGGTTTCCAGCTAGGAAAACTATGGAAAAATGGTCTGTCGTCACCTAGTCTTAGTTCGTTGTTGGCCCCTGCGAAAAAATGAAGTTTGAAACAAATAGATGGTAAAACACATCCTGCTTCTTTGGGGTTCCTCTCGGTGCGCGTTTTAAAACAGCCCCATGTTTTGAAAAAACATTGGCAACATGCCCCTGAAACATCAACAATCCGACCAAGGCTGAACCCCGGTAATGAAGATCTTGACCAACATGCTGAGATTTTCAGCAACCTCGATGTCTCAAAATGGTGAGCCTCTGAGATCAATGATCCGGTTATGTTCGGCTGGAAACCACCAGATCGGCTGGGACGAAAAACCAATCACACTGAAAAAAGGTGAAATCCTTCGTCGCACATCTTCTGAGGGATCGCAACATCTGACCGAGGAACCCACTCCAGTTTTTTAGTGTCCGTGCCTTGGGTAGCAAACAAACTGTATGAAACATAAGTGAAGGAACTGATTCATAACACAAGTGGACAGAAGTGGCTAAGTAGCAATATGATTGCAATGAAGATCCAGCTATGTCACTGTCACCGTCAAGCACCTTCTCCTGGATCTCTGCTCTGGGTTCATCTTCAACACCAAACTGATCATATGTTCATCTTTAGTTTCTATTTGTTTTAAGCATTCTAAGTCCCACATCAGTATTCCAACATGAGATTTCTAAATCCGAACTTTAAATCTAAGTAACATACAGGATGGGGTCCCCAAGATAGCTAAGTTGCCTTATAAGTGGTTTAACCATGGTTTATGGTATAGATATAACCATAGTCAATACAGTAGGGTTTATAAACCAACAAAGCCACTGGGGGACACCATATCAACGATTAAATTCCATTAAATCACCATCATTTAACCACCATTACCCTCTGGTAATTTGTTACATAGCTATTGAAAATGGCCATAGAAATAGCGGATTTTCCCATCAAAAATGGTGATTTTCCATAGTTATGTGACAGTTTACCAGAGGGTAAGTCACCATATTTCTGTGGGATTTCTGTTGGATTTTCCAATGGCTCTGGCGGCACTGCCTGGCACCACTCACTCAGCTTCCGCTTGGATCAGGGGAGAGCTGGCCATGCTGGCCATCTGCCCTGCAATCTCTGAGCTTTGACAAAAATGGTGATTTTATGGTGGATTTTATGGTGGTTAAATGGTGGTTATGGTTTAACCAATCTTAGATGGTGATTTGTTCTTGTGATTTTATGGTGACTGTAAAATGCTGGGTTCATGATGATTTCTGGTGGATTTTATGGTTTTTATGGTGATGTTATCATCATTTTATGGTTGATGTATGGATATTTATTGTGATTTTATGGTGGGTTCATGGTGGAATCATTGTGATTTTACCTTGATGTATGGTGGTTTCACTAACACAAATAGGATGTTTTTCACCAGGGACTTGACATTGATGGGATTTTTTATATGGGGATCTGATGGGATAAAACAGGGCAATGATGGGACGCTGCTGTCACTCCGTGCTGGCTTGCATGGCATCCACGGCCCGGTATTCTAACGTGGGAATAGGTCTGAAGGACAACGAAGTTGTATAATGGAAAGCCACATCAACTTCCGGTGGGCATATATCTGCACTCTCTGCGGTGGAGTTTTTGTTGCCATAACATGTTCCCAACGGTGTGGGTTGACCATCCGGAGGGCTTCGTCCCAAAAAATGCCGAGAAAGACGTTGATCCCATCGCCCCAAATCGGCCAATGGGAATAGCGATTGAAAATGGCCCAGTCGAAATAGTGAGTTTTCCCAGCTATAACATGGTGATTTTCCAGTTCGCAAACTGTTAGTTTACCAGAGGGTATTGGGGTACCCCCATGACTATGAAAAACCCCACGTCTTCTAAAGTCTTTTGGGCTTTGTTGGGACATGTTGCAAGCTATGCAGCCTGTAGACTGTAGCAGCCAAGGATTTTTTCGTCCAGGACTTGGTAGTTATACCATGTTATACCTGAACCAACCCTACTTAGTTTACCCAACCCACAAACTTTATAGCTGGGGTGAAACGCGAAATGGATAATTTGCATGGCTGGAAACCAGAAAAATCAGTTTCAAACTGCTCAATCCGCTCATCAACAATCTGTTTCAAACATAGGCTGAAACACCCTGATGTTAGCAGCACTTCCCATCCGAAAAAATATTGGTTCCTGAACATAGAAAAACACATGGATTCGGCTCACCATCTGAATGTTGCTTCGCCAAACAATCATATACTGGTTCTCCCTAATCTCATATTTTCAGCTGACCCCATGATAGATCCATCACTAAGCCAAGGTTTCTAGGGGGCGTTTTTTTTTTTTGTGGGAAGGGATTCTGTCCAAAGTATGAGTTTACCAAGCATGCCATTATTTTTTGCGGCTATATCCCCATGTTAATATCCCAACCATCCAGATTTACCCAGCTAACTCCAACATTTCCCAGTAAAAACTACAGATTTTCCATCTTGGATTTTCTCAAGTACTTTGCTAACAAACTGTTGCCAATCGCTTAAGTTTCCCCAAGTCCTAGATTTCGCCAACGGACAAAATCCATCAAAATCCGTTTAAACTCGGCCATCGGGTTCCCATTTGGGGGTGATCCCCCTAACAAACTCATGATCAAATTCATCCCCACGGCATCCCATCATTCATCAATGTGAATTAAGTGATAAATTGTTATCCATTAATAGAATATTACTATTCATATCATATTAAATAAGTAATATGATGTAATATGTAACATGCAATAATAATCTGGTTGGTGGTATACCTACCCCTCTGAAAAATGATGGAGTTTGTCAGTTGGGATGATGACATTCCCAACATATGGAAAAACAACAAATGTTCCAAACCACCAACATATTCCAGATATTCCATTCATATTTTCCATAGATTGTCCGATTAAAACCTCCATTTTTCTCGTGGTTTTTCCAGCTCACCTCTCTGCGAACGGCTCCGAACGATGGTGAGGGTAGCCAAGAGGTACACGCTGGCGATCCTTGCGGAAATGGCCCATAGAAATCGTTGATAAAAACCTATGAAAAATGGGTGGGTCTTCCATTAGTTATGGGGTCACTTTAGATATCATCATTGGCACATATAGGAAGGCAGCCTCTCGTGAAACCACCAGGGTTTGAATCTTGTACGTTGGTGTGTTTTTACTCCCAGGTAGTTTTCAACACTTATTCCTGACCAGGGTGGTTTCCACCACTTATTTTCTTATAAAAACCAGGGCTCACGAAATTTAATAGTGGTACCTTAATGCTTATATGGTTTCTTAAAAATAGCCCTAAATCATCCATCTTAATAGGCTTGTCCTTGCGTAAAGGCCCAGAGCTGCTTCGATCAAATTTGCCCGAAATCTCGTGAAATTGCCGTTCAACCATCAAGATCTCGAGGAATTCATGGATTTACAATGTGGTGCCCCCAAGATAGCGTTCAGTTGGTTTATAACTCTAATAACTAGGACTTATGGTAGATATATCGAACTAGTTAATGGGATTATAAACCATTATAAACCAACTTATAACTGAGGGGCACCACCTTGTAGAAGCATCGGCTTCTGTGTCTTCCATGGTGGATGATGGCTCTGCCATGCGCCTTAAATATCCTTGATCTTGATGATCTCGGTGGTGAAGTTTGCGGATTGGACTGGGGTACTGGGGTACTGGCATGCCATCCGGATCTGGTCCGCTTGTTTTTGAGCCTTCGTGCCTCAACTGCAACTTTCATGCGGAAAACCGACTTTTGAAAAGTAGCAGATCAATTTCCAAACGGGAAATCCATGGATTTTCCACATTACTTCATCCAAGTCAGGCTGAAACCATCGTTTTTTGCTGCTGAAACAAAGTCCCGGGGGACCAAACGACCAAACGCCATGAGCTGCAAACCCTTCCGTGTCATCAGCCACGTGGCTGGGAAATCCCCGGTGTCTACACTTAGGCCCTTAGGCTATGACTCAGTCATGGGAACATCATCCGTAAATGGTTCCCAGATGGTTTTTTGGTGGTGCCCCAGTGGTAGATCTGATCCATATGATTTTTCCATGGTTGGGGACTTCGGGACGTGCTGGGACGTGCTTGAAACAAAGAACAACCCTAAACCCTCCGGTGATGTCAAAATAGCTATTGACAATGGCAATTTATAATTGGTATACAGTATATATATATGATTGATTTTCCCATTAAACATGGGGATTTTCGGATTTTCCAGTTCGTTATGTGACAGTTTGCCAGAGGGTAGATCCTATAATAGTCCATTCATAGCCATCAACCAACTTAGCTAGCTAATTTTTTTGGGCACCTGGGGGTTACAACCATAGTTATAGAGCCATTTTGCAACCTCAACTGCATCAGTTTGCAGGTTGTATTCTCATTATATCCCCATGAAATTGCATTAAATCCCATTAAATCACCATTTTCATGGTTCAACCATAGAATTTACGCCACTGAATAACGCAAATTACCATTAATCCCATTCCACCATATCCCCATTATATCCCTCAACATTTACTGGTCAAAACCCCTGCGATTTCCAGTTACATGCCGTACCAACTGGACCCACAAGTAGAGACTCGCATGAAATCGCATGAATAAACTACTAAATGTCTTGGTCAGTTAAACAAGTAGTAAATTCGATTTTGTTAACTGTTTACAAGATTTTACAAGTACTAACTAACTGTTTAACCATGTTTAAGTCACATGTTGTCATGGTTAAACAGTTAAACATCGTTAAACCCGGTTAAACCTATGCCATTTCACCATGGTAAACCACCAGTCTTTCAACTCCCTTCGCCAAGTTTCATCACGTTCACCGCCAAAAAGGTGGTCGAGGCTGTGCCCTGCGACAGATCCCAAGGGTGACGCAGCGCAGGTGGGTTCTGCAAGGCGACCCCCAGTGATGCCTGTGTTGGTGTATAACCCCAGAAAAAGTAGTTCGGTATATCTGCCATGTAGTGAACTTGGAGTGAACTGTGAACCCCAATAATAATTAGTTCAATGGGAGATCTCCAGGATCCAATTGATGGAGGTACGTTAGTACCATATTCTTGGCCATCTTTTGTGGGGATATTCCCTGCAATTTAGGCCTGAAAAATAGGCCTTATATATGGAATCGGTACCTCCAATGAATCGGATCCTGGCCAGCATGGCCATTGATGTTGGTGTATAACCCCAGAAAAAGTAGTTCGGTATATCTGCCATGTTTAGCCAAGTGAGTTATTGGAGATTTATCTGTGAACCCCAACTTAGGTCGCGATAGAAAGCGAACACGGACGGGACACCACCTTGTGCCCGCCTCAAATGCCCCGCAAACAAAGCACCTTGTTAGCTGGTGAAAAATGTGATATTCCTACTGAAATCGCAATTCAGAAAAATCCGGATTAATTTCCAGCCATCCAGTTGGTTAACCATGAATAGTCATTAACACTTACTAACCATCAACCATTATTAAACATCCAATCTTATGAATAACCATTATGAACCAACCATTTATCTTGTGCAGATTATTATATAACTTAATTGACCACCAACCATTAATTACCATTATTAACCATCGGCCATTGCAACATTAACTGATCTTATTAACCATGGTTTATCTTTATTACTAACCATGAGAATAAACATTATTATTGATAAACCATTATTAATAACCATTATAAACCATTATTATTATTCATTATTAACCATGATTAAGCATAAATATATACATTAATAACAACTAACCATGATTAACCATAGCATTAATCTCATTTTCTTGCTAGATTGTCCATGGCCAGGTGGCTCAAGGAACACCCAACTAACACACTCGCAGACTTTCATGGATCACAAAAATATCACGAGCGGCTCTGTGGCAAATATTTTTTCAATCCTAGTGATATTGGCAAATAATTCTTCAATCCTAGTTGGCAAATAGCTTCTTTTTTATGTTCAATCTAGTTGGCACTCCCCCACCAAAAAAAAACGGAAACGTAACATCCTACTAGAATAGTTAAGAATTATAGTGTTTTATCCTTTCTGGCGGGTTGCTAAAGAAGCTTAGATGGCATGCAAAAAATAAAGTTATTGCTGGTTAGTATATGGTTAGTATATATCACAATTCGCCGATTTACAGGTTACAAATGGTTATTTATCACAATTTTGCTGATTAAACTTATGTAGTATATATCACAATTTGCTATTATATAGTATATGTGGTTACAAATGGTTACTGATACTGTACTAAAGTATCCATCCAAGGATCCAACTGCTCTTTTTGGGGCCAAATATGTTGCTGCTTGGCGGGTTATTTTCCATGTAATTGTAGTCAAAAAAAAACAAGCAAACTAAAGGAGTTAACCATATATAAGCATATTAAACAACAATGTTCATCCAGTTGGTTGGGCAGCCCGGGCATGTCACATTTAGATTAGCTATAAACAAAACTTGCGGTTCTTCGGTCCCCACCGCCTCCTGGAACTGCCAGAGCCCCGTGAAGTGCTCAGACCTGGTGGCAGTTGACTCTGCAATCACTGGATGGGATACCCTCTGGTAAACAAACATAACTATGGAAAATCACCATTTTTGATGGTTAAATCAACTATAATATGCAATGTTTGTTCAATGGCTATGTTAGTTTACCAAAAGGTACCCTACCCTACAGGATGGGGCCCCCATTCGATAGCTAAATAACTTATTTGTGTGGCTCAACATGGCTGAATTAACTATGGTTTATGGTAGATTGAAAACTATAGATAACGATAGTTAATTGGTAAACATACATCCAAAAACTATGGTTTATAGATGTTTATAGGTGATATATCTATAGTATCTATAGGTTTAATGGGGTTTAAAAACCAACAAACATAACTGGGGGCACCATCCTGTAGTTACCAAGTGTTTACCAAGTGAAATCATTCTCCATCAGCATTGACATGAGAATATGAGAGACAAAATCACTATCTTACCATGGATCTTTGAATTTCTTTAGGGATACCCTCTAGTAATCAAACAATATCAAACATGGCTAGCTGGGAAATCCCAACCATAAATGGAAGTTTCTAGCTGGGATAATATCCTACAAATGGATGGCATCCCATGGCCAGGTTTACTGGAGTGTAATCATGGTCAATCTTTCATCGTCCACAACAAACATATTCTTTTGCTATAATGTTCCATTTATATCAATGGCCATGCAACAGGAACCGATTGATTGGAGGTACCTACCATATAAGGCCTCCCTGTAGCTGGACTTCACCAAATCCAAGTTGCCGAAACTGGCATCATCGATCACACGGTTCCTATCCATGGCTAGTGCATTGATCCGCCTCAACCTCTCACTCAAGGTGTGAATGTGCTGCTTGAAGAGGTCAGGCTTGTCCAGCCAGGCAGACGGTAGCTCCAATGGCAACAGGATGTGGGGAGGCTCCAGGCAGGTTTGCTGCTTCACCACACGCTTGGTGTTGGAGGCTGTAAACAGCTGTGGACAATCCGGCAGTCGTCCATCATAAGGTGGTCAGCGATATGCCAATCCATACAGGTTCTTGCCGTCTTGCCGTCTAGAAAGGTTAGCTCCAGCAAGACCGAGTTGCCAGTTTGCAGCTGATTTAAACCGCTCATCAGCACATCTCTTCCTGGCTCTAAGCATCGCAGAAAGCCGGTCCCACAAGCTGTGTGACACATCCCGTTGCCTTACTCTGTTCCTTTGCTCAACTGGGGAGGCCAGCTAGCTCCAGGCCGCAAGAGAGCCATGTAGGCTCTATGCTGAAGAAGACCCCATCCTCTGTCACCCGGGCTTTGTGGAATCGTGATAAGAATATATATAATAGTAATTAATGATATATTATGAGATATTATTATGATATATATAATAGGATATATATATATATACATTATTATGCTATTTTATGATATATTCCCATTAATGTTGGACGGACAATAGTAAAGCGCGTGCAATAGCTACAAATAATTTTCAGAATCTAATTTTTCAACCCCTATTGATTTTAAATTAGGCCTTATTGATTTTAAATTACAAACATCAACCTTGGTCCAGAGGATCTGCAATAAATGTGGTTCATTCGCAATAGCTACAAATAATGTTCAGAAAATTCCCAAATAATTAGATTTTCCAATACTAAATTGTAAAGGAGCTAATTGAGATTTAGTATGGATGCAGGAAAAAAAATCAGAACCAGTTGCAGTTCAGCTGTATTGTTCCCTTCTTCCTTAGTGTTTTTAATTTTGGTTGAATGGTTTTTAATTGTGATTGCATGTTTTTCAAAAGCAAAAACAAAGCAAACCTTGACCAAATCAAAAACTTTACCTTGTCCAAAAAAGCTGTTTTCTTTATTAAAATCATTTTTAACAAATTGCAAAAAACAGGTCCACAAAGGGTACCCCCTTGCAGGTCCGTGCATTTGCAATTAAAAATTGGAATTAGCACTTGCAATAAGAAACAACCTTCCTGGCTCTAGCAGCCCTTTTTTTCCCTTCTTCATTAGTGTTTTTAATTTTGGTTGAATGGTTTTTAATTGTGATTGCATGTTTTTCAAAAGCAAAAACAAAGCAAACCTTGACCAAATCAAAAACTTTACCTTGTTCAAAAAAGCTGTTTCTTTATTAAAATCATTTTTAACAAATTGCAAAAAACAGGTCCACAAAGGGTACCCCCTTGCAGGTCCTTGCATTTGCAATTAAAACTGGAATTAGCACTTGCAATAAGAAACAACCTTCCTGGCTCTAGCAGGCATTTTTCCCCTTCTTCCTTAGTGTTTTTAATTGTGGTTGAATGGTTTTTAATTGTGATTGCATGTTTTTCAAAAGCAAAAACAAAGCAAACCTTGACCAAATCAAAAACTTTACCTTGTCCAAAAAAGCTGTTTTCTTTATTAAAATCATTTTTAACAAATTGCAAAAAACAGGTCCACAAAGGGTACCCCCTTGCAGGTCCGTGCATTTGCAATTAAAAATTGGAATTAGCACTTGCAATAAGAAACAACCTTCCTGGCTCTAGCAGCCCTTTTTTTCCCTTCTTCATTAGTGTTTTTAATTGTGGTTGAATGGTTTTTAATTGTGATTGCATGTTTTTCAAAAGCAAAAACAAAACAAACCTTGACCAAATCAAAAACTTTACCTTGTTCAAAAAAACTGGTTTCTTTATTAAAATCTTTTTAAAAAATTGCAAAAAACAAGTCCACAAAGGGTACCCCCTTGCAGGCCCTTGCATTTGCAATTAAAAACTGGAATTAGCACTTGCAATAAGAAACAACCTTCCTGGCTCTAGCAGGCATTTTTTCCCTTCTTCCTATCAGAATCCAATGAAGATCCCATGAGAGCCCATCAGAAAAGAGAGGATTTGTCAAAACCTTACAGAAGCCTTTGGGGAAGAGTTGGGATTTTCGATTTACTATTGCAAAGCAGACCCCCCCCCCCAAAAAAAAAATAGGGGGGGACCCCCCTTTACTATTGTCGATGTAACATTATACACCATCCAGCTGGGGTAGCATCATTTCTGGAAACCCCCATATGAAGATTGTGAAGTTCCAAGGGCAGCTCCATGGGTCACTGATCCTGTGATCCTGTGACGAGCGGATTCCCTGCCACGGAGCAGCCCTGCATTGCCATCTACCCGGCCTGGTAAAGGTATACAAAAAACTATGGAAAACCATGCTATGAAAATGGGTAAATCAACTATTTCGACTGGGCAATTTTCAATAGCTGTATGTTTACCAGAGGGTATCACCATCATTAATCACTATTAATCACCATTAAATCACCATTTTCCTATGGTTTTCCTATGGTTTTCCTATGGTTTTCCCATGTTTTTTTGTATGTTTACCAGGTTGGCTACCTTTGGCAGCCCCAATGATCCCATGATATCCCATGTCATCCGTCTAAGACCTTTAACCTCGAGAGGAGCTCCCGCAAAGGCTGTCCCGCAAAGGCTGTATATCTATCTATCTACTGTAATCTAGTCTAGTCTAATCTAATCTAATCAAAAATCTAATCTAATCTAATCTAATCTCATCTATCTATCATGAGCCCCGATTATACTAGTTGAGTCTACTTAGTTGCCAGCAATTTTACAAGTACTCACCATGTCGGAAGTTCCTTAAAATGGGAGACCTCAAGGCCCCAAGTCACCATGGGTTTCAATACTAAAACGGTCTAATGACTTGGATCGGGGAACCCCCCATCACGTCTCTCGGAAGCCTCCCTTTGGATATTCTTAAGGAACCCAAACAAATAACACACATTTTTTCATTTTTTCCACATATTCCCAACAGAAAAATTGCATAAAATTGCACAGTTCTGGTGGATAAACCTGGTGACATCAACAATCATCGACGAATCGCACAGTGCGCACATCCAAGATCTCATAGTTGGTTTTCCAAGCTTTAAACCTCCATCGGATGAGGGGATTTCCCAGCTAGCCATGTGAAAAATTACAGATGTTTCTTGGATATTTCCCCACTACTTCCCCAACCGATGGGGTGATTTCTTATGATTTCTTTCCCGCCATTTCTAGTGGTTGAAATCCCCCCATGTTACCCACATTTCTCGAAGGTTGTCACCCACTCGGCCCAGTGGCAAAGATCGCGTCAATGGAACGTCCGTACCTCAGCGTCGTGCCTATCTGACTTTCTGGTGGAATTACACGTGCCTATAAAGTGGGGCACCCCTTCTGAAACGGTATTTATGGTGATTTACCTAAGGAAAATGGTGATTTAAACTAGGGAAAAAATTGTTTAGTTCACTCCAATCACTATGGAAAGTATGATACTTATAACTATAGTAGTCATGTTTTTTTTGGACCAACAAACATAACTGGGGGCCCAACTTTGTAGAATACGACAAAATACATTATGTAATGTACATTGAATTACATGAGCACTTAATTGCAAACGCACAGGCACACAATTGTTGTATTTGCTGCAGGGAAATTCCGAAACAAAATAGCGGATGTTACACTAGGACCATAACCAATCACCTCCTGCAAACCAGCAAAATATGCCCGGATTTCCTCCCAGCTATATTAACATCAAGGTACAGTAGCCGCTATGCGCACATCTTTGACAGTTGGCCTTGCGTTATCAAATCGACGCGGTCAGCTGGGCCAGCTGGGTGAAGGTTTCATCCAACAAACTCTGAAAGTCCATAGCCAAATAGATCCAAAAAATTACATAACGTTCAAAAAATAGTTGGTGAGATTCATACATTCCTGATAAGCCAGACAAAATTACTATTATATAATGCACTTTTCATCCTTTACCAAAGTCTCCCAAGAAGCCGGGATCTGCGTACCAAAACATGATGGAAATGTCGATTTACTGAAGCCAACAATTAGGAAAGTCTGGCCGTGGGATGCTTCATAAAATCAACGTCTTTTGTTCAATTCTTCCTACACCCCGTACTAGCAATTCTATGAGTCCTATGCATGCTTGTAAGAAATGTGATTAAAATTTCATAAATCTAGGCAAAATCTAGTCTAGTCTAGCAATTACCAAAAAAAACATGGAACAATGCCGCAATGCCCAACACAATCTCCATGCAAACGATGATTTTCACCCCAAACACGATCGTTTTTGGCCTTGCCCCAGCAGTCCGCATCTTTGCTACACCTGGCGGATGGCTGGCCCACTTAACTCACTTAACCGCCAGAAGATGTACCAACTACCCTCTGGCAATCAAAGGTGGCAATTGAAAATCCACCATTTAGTTCGATGACTTTTCAAGTGAGAAAACATCCATTTGATTCGGGCCACGTTTGATGACCAAAGGGTAACTTGTTTGGACTTGTGCGAACAAAATTTGATCTTAGATACTACGCAGACCCTATAAAAAAAATATCATCACAAATCGCCGGGGCAGAAACCGTCCGCGAATCTGACATGGCCAAACTTAGATATCCATAGATATCAACAACTTGGGTTTTATGGTACTTACTTACGGCATTCAGTGGGTTTATTAACCAACAAACATAACTGGGGGCGAAAAATCCAACAAACATACTTGGGTTTATATGTGCAATCCTATGTTTGAGGTGGTTTAATAGACAAACTTATGACTGCGACATTTGGAGATGATTCCCCGAATCCACTTGCCATCATTCCAGTGATGTTACTCACGAGGTCATGATCAAATTCATCTGGATCAAAACCCATTAAACACAACAATATTAAGTCATAAACCCAGTAAAATGCAATGATTTAATACGCCGTGGTTTTATTTCATTCATATTCGCTTAATATTCCATTCATATCCCGTTTATCCACATATACTATATACTTGGATTTGCTTGAGGGAACGCCCAAAGGTTTAAAAGTAAAACGTATTCCCAAGAAATACCAATAACGCCACTAAAATTACATTATCCCATTTTATAGTCCATTGATATTCCTTTAAAACCCCGGCAATTAACATTCAATAATCCATCACTATATCCGATCACACTATCATGTCATGTGTATGACCCTACAAGTTCCCATGTACAATCCCATTAATTAGTATCCCAGCCATATCCCATTTTCATTCCACTTATTAATATCCGATTGATAATCCCACTCCATAGCCTAGCAATGTCTGTAATATCCCACGGCTATACATCCAATCCCGGTGATATTCCATTCATATTCCAGACAAATCCTGAGAATACCTGGCCGCTGCCATGATCAAATTCATCCAGATCAAACCCCATTAAATCAAACAATGTTGAGTCATAATCCAGTTTATATTCCCAAAAATCCAGGGATAGGTAATTAATATTCCTTAAGCACTCATATTCCATTCAAACCCAACCAATAATCACTAGTATGATTTTGAGACTTATTCCAATAGGATGTTCAACCCTTAATAACTAATAATCCGTTAATATCCCATATAATCCCATCCCCCTTATACTAGTTAAACACCACCTTAGTGGTCCCAATTGTGTGGACATTCCCTACTAAACCATGGTTTCTAGGGGTGTATAATGTTAGGAGGAAGGAATTCATATGATAACCAATTACCTTCTAGTAAATTAACAAAGACCCTGCCAACAGAAAGAAGAGATAGAAGAGAGAGAACAGAGAGAAGAGACAGGAGAGAGAGAAGAGAAGAGAGAGAGAGAGAGAGAGAACAGAGAGAAGAGACAGGAGAGAGAGAAGAGAACAGAGAGAGAAGAGAGAGAAGAGAGAGAAATGAGAGAAGAGAGGGAAGAGGGAGAACAGAGAGAAGAGAGAGAAGAGAGAGAACAGAGAGAGAAGAGAGAGAAGAGAGAGAAGAGAGACCACAGAGAGAGAAGAGAGAGAGAGAGAGAAGAAGGATAAGATGTGCAGATGTAAGATGTGAATATGTAACATGTGTAGACGTAAAAGATGTGCAAATGTAAGATTTGAAGAGGTTATCCCAGCGGCTTTTTGGAAGATCCTTATGCCCATGTGCTCTTGGGAAAAACCGTCACAAACACCGATCCGCCTATGGGCTCATATGTGCTGCTGAAATCATTTTTGGGATATGAACTATATAGTTGTCCAGTTCGCCCATGTGCACCAGGTAGTCTCCATCGCTCGGCCGAGCAAAAGGTCTGTTCCGGCTAAGTCTGCAGCTGGGTACGTTTGACGTAGGGCATGTCTGTGTCACCATCCTCCGTGTTTCGTGGTGCGTCTTTCCGTCGAAGTCAGAAAGACGTAAGACCCAAAATCCGCAACAGGACACCGAGGACACCCTTCAAAGCTCTAGGCACAACATCGAAACCAGCACTGTACAAGATTGTTGCTCTTGCGATGCTCGGCCAACATGGACTCGACCATCCCATGATAATCTCACTATAACACCTTTCAATCCCATTATTATTATTATTCCATTATATAAATCCCAATCTTCACATGGTGTGAAACCCCTACGTGGTACTTTTTGATAGGGAAAATGATAATCAATCAATGGATGAAGGTACCTTATTATTGTGTTCCCATTAAAGTCCCACGATGCTCTCATGATAATCCCACTAAATCCCATTATTCAAATGGTGTGTAACCACTACATGACTTACATGGTACTTTTCATAGGAAAAATGATGATCAACATTCACCAACCACTGGATTCGAAGGTACCCTTTTGGTACTGCGGACATTTTCTCCTCCCCCCATCTGGCACCTGGGCCCTCGTTGCCCCGTGACGCAAACTCCACCGATTTCGCCGCCACCAGCTGGCGAACCTGGCGACCCAATCCAGGAATCCTTCAAGGTGGCGCCCCCCCAGTCATAAGTTAGTTTATAACCCCCATTAAGTATAGGTATATCTACAATAAACCCAAGTGATATTGGAGTTATTTCAACCAACTTAGGGAACGAACTGGGGCACCACCTTGTTGGGAACGAGCCATGCGAAATGGCACCCTATAGATCCAAACACATCCTGAAAAGGTACTTATGCCCACAAAATATACCCCAGACACTTCCTAAGAAAGTATTTAGATCCATAGGGTATGATGATTTATTCCTTAATAATAATTATGTTGCTAAAACTTGCTCGTAGAAACAAACCGTTTATGATGATTTAGCCACAGAATGTCAGCCCCAAAAAGGTGGTGCCCAACTTTTAAGTAGTTCGATAAATTTCAGTTATTTGCACCAACTTGGCCATTTATGGAGCACCAGCTTGCATAGTTCATGGGTAGAGCTGCCGAACACAGAACCAATGAAAGAATGGTACTGCTCATATGCGGATCTGTCCTCCACCGCCGCCGCAGACTTGAGGGAAACCTCAGAAGCAAACCGGGCAATGAGTCCAGGCTCAACAACCAACGGAAGAATGGAAAGTAAAAAAGCAGAGAACAAAAATCATGACCAAACAGAACGATTTGACTGGAAATGCCCGACTAAGTAATACCTTCTGTCATCTTCTGTCCAAAGATCATATAAGCCAGTTGAGCATCTTTTGCATCGCCCGTCGTGCCCAGGTTCTACGGGGCCGGGGTGGTACCCAGTGATGTTTGTTGGCCCTCATTAAACACATTGATAGATATAACCTCCATAAACCCTAGTTATATCATATCAATAAATCAATGTAGCTATTGGAGCTATGTTCACTAACTTAGCCTTCGCAAAGTGGAGCACCCTGTTGCAACCCGTTGCAACCCCTGCAACCATTCACCCCACAGCTACCACCCTCGTATCCACATGGTGCACCATCCGTCCGATTGAGCAACTGTTCACATCGGCCAAGTGCCAAATCCCTTTCTCGTCCTGGCCGACGTCTGGCTGAAACAACATCCCTGACCAAGATGCGTGTACAGCTAACTGGGGTGCAGCACCAAGTCTATGGTAACCATATGGGTCACACATCTAAACAGTTTAAAGATGGAGATTTAGCCAGATTAAACCAAACCAAAATGCATTGGACTATTGTATTTGGTGTTTCCACAGTTTGTTGATGTTTGTTGGTGACGTTGGTGAGCATACCTCCAATCACCACGGTCAATGGTAGATACAGCGCGCTAGTTAATTGGGTGAAATCAAACCAACACTCACTCGGGATGCACCACCTTGTACTCAATATGGCCATGCGATAAATGGCTGGATCAAACTTGGTGGTTGCTTTTTACTTATGGTCGAAGGAAGTTTAGAAGTCAATCTTCCGACAATATGGACAGATGGACAAGCACAGGTGGGAAGAGTCAGAGAACAAAAGAGAAGAAGAGAGACGATCAAAGAAGAGAAAGAGTCAGAAGAAAGAAGATACAGGTGCATGAAAAGGTAGGAAAGTCGCGATTCACTGTGTTTTTCCAATGATTTGTGGCGCCCCGAGGGTCGAAAAGTAGGCTCGCTACAGCGGCGGGCGCAGAGACATCTGGTCAGATGAGAGATGAACAATTGCACGCCGTTGTGGCGCGAAGATGCGCGAAGCACATTTCGAAGTCAAAATGTACAAAAAAAACCGGTTCGGAGCACTTTTGGAAGTTGAGATGTCGAAAAAGTGCACGCCGTTGTGGCGCGAAGCACATTTCAAAGTCAAAAGTGTTAAAAACTGACGGTCTTGGAGCACTTTTGGAAGTTGAGATGTTGAAAAAGTGTACGCGGTTCTCGCGCGAAGCACGTTTCCAAGTCAAAATGTTAAAAACACCACATGCTCGGACCACTTTTGAAGGTTCAGATGTGATTTTGCGTGGCAGGTGCAAGGGATTCTGCACCTTGCCAAAAGTGAGCAAAACATGAGGGTTTTGTCGCAGTTCCAAAAACGATGGCAGGCGCGGGGCATTTGCAGAGGATCTGCAAAGATGCCTTTCGCGTGGCAGGCGCAGTGCAACAGACATGTTCATGAGAGATGTTAAGAGGTCAGGGCGCTGATTTCCTGAGAGAGGTTGCATTTTGGAACATCAGATCTGTAGGTTTGCTACGATGGATGATTTTGCGTGACAGGTGCAGCACTTCGTATGGCCTGGCATCACTCTTTCCTGGCAGGCGCAGCACTTTAGACGGATGGAGTGGAAAAATCGCAAAACGCATTGGTACGAGGCCGTCAGCTCTGCACTCAACTTTCCATTTTTGAAGGAAGTCTCGCAGAATTGCTTCGTTTATGACGTTGTCAAGTTCAAAAATTGAGGGAGTCTCGCAGAATAGCTTCGTTTTTGATGTTGCCAAGTTGAAAAGTTGAGGAAATCTCGCAGAATTGCCGCGTTTTTGATGTTGTCAAGTTCAAAAATTGAGGACGTCCCGCAGAATAGATAGATAGATGGATGGATAGATAGATAGATAAATAGATAGATAGATAGATCGATAGATCGATAGATCGATCGATAGATCGATAGATCGATAGATCGATAGATCGATAGATCGATAGATCGATAGATCGATAGATAGATAGATAGGTAGATAGGTAGATAGATAGATAGATAAGAAAGAAAGAAAGAAAGATAGATAGATAGATGGATAGATAGATAGTTAGATAGATAGAAAGATAAATAGATAGATAGATAGATAGACCGATAGATCGATAGATCGATAGATCGATAGACCGATAGATCGATAGATCGATAGATCGATAGATCGATAGATAGATATAGATAGATATAGGTAGATAGATAGATAGATAGATAGGTAGATAGGTTGATAGATAGATAGATAGATAAGAACGAAAGAAAGAAAGAAAGAAAGATAGATAGATCGATAGACAGACAAACAGACAGACAGACAGATCGATGGATGGATGGATGGATGGAGATAGAGATAGAGATAGAGATAGAAATAGAGATAAATATAGAAATAGAGATAGAAAGATATAGATAGAAATAGATAGAGAAAGATAGAGATAGATAGAGATAGATAGAGATAGATAGATATAGATAGAGATAAAAATAGATAGATAGAGATAGATAGAGATAGATAGATAGATAGATAGATAGATAAATAAATAAATAGATTAGATAGATAGAGAGATAGAGATAGAGATAGAGATAGAGATAGAAAGATATAGATAGAAATAGATAGAGAAAGATAGAGATAGAAAGATATAGATAGGGATAGATAGAGATAGATAGAGAAAGATAGAGATAGATAGAGATAGAAAGAGATAGATAAAGAAAAATAGAGATAGATAGAGATAGAAAGAGATTCATAGAGAAAGAAAGAGATAGAGAGAAATAGATTGAGATAGATAGGGATAGATAGAGATAGATAGGAATATATATATATAGAGATAAATAGGTATAGATAGATATAGATAGAGATAGATAGATATAGAAAGATATAGATAGAGATAGATAAATATAGATATAGATAGAGATAGATAGAGACTAATCCCTCTGGGATAGATAGATATAGATAGATTTAGATAGAGATAGAAAGATAGATATAGATAAATATAGATAGATATAGATAAATATAGATAGATATAGACAGAGATAGATAGATATAGATAGATATAGGTAGATATAGATAGATATCGATAGATAGAGGTAGATAGAAATAGATTGAGATAGATACATATAGATAGAGATAGATAGAGAGAGATAGAGACAGATAGAGAGAGAGAGAGATAGATAGATAGATAGATAGATAGACAGCCAGAGAGATAGACAACTGCAACTGCACTACACCACACTACAACTGCAACTTCATCTGCACTACAACTACAATTTCAACTACAAGAACTATAGCTACAACCACAAATGCAACTTCAACTACACTTCAATTACAACTACAACCTCAACTACAATTACTACAACTACAATTGCAAGTGCCACTACAACTGCAACTGCAACTACAACTACAAATGCAACAACTACTACAACTACACTACCACTGCAACTGCAGCTGCAGCTACAACTGCAACTACAACTTCAGCTACACTACAACTACACTTCAACTACAACTTCAACTACACGACTGCAACATCAATTACCACGTCCCCCATCCTGCATCATTGAAATGACATCAAAGTTCTTTCGGTTGGGAGTTGCTTAATTCAAACAAGCCATCGCCGAAAACATCGCCGTGAAGTCGTTGAAAGAAAACAAGACTAAGGTGCTCAAGTATAAAAGATTCTAAGCTGGTTTATAGGTCTCATTAAAATCATTAAATAGACATGGATGTGTTTGACCATCTTACTGGTGCTAAACGCAAGGAATTTTCGGGAATGATCCACTGGCTAACTATCAATAATCATCCCAGCAACCCCCATTCCCATCCATTCCCTACGTTTAGCACCAGTAAGAATTAGAATGGAGTACTGGTTGGTGGTTTCAACCTACCCCTCTGAAAAATGATGGAGTTCGTCAGTTGGGAGTTGTTCTGAAAAAGCACCAGTAAGTAACTTTGTTTGACCAAAAACCTGGAGTTATGTTCACCAACTTATCCTTCGCAAACTGGGGCACCACCACAGAACGTTCACCGTCGTGGGGCTTACTGGACTGACTGACTGGACTTGCCAATAAAGCTAACTCACCCTCTGGTAAACTAACTGTTTGCTATGGAAAATCACCATTTCTTATAGGTAATTCATCTATAAATAGGCCATTTTCCATAGATATGTACCAAATTACCAGAGGGTATTTAGTCGTTAGATGATCTACCTATTAAAAATAAAAAATCCCGTAACAAAATGCTAGTTTACCTCATTCCTCGGTGAGAGAATTCACGACAGGTTTGGTCATGATCAAATTCATCCAGATATCAAATCATGGGTAAAACATGCCAAAAACCAACTCTTGTATAATATAGTTGGTTATGGATCCAAACTAAATATCCTATGAATCTCCCTTTCAATCCCCATAGGGGCAATGTCCACTTGTAGGGTGAGAATCTACAAGGTGGTGCCCCCCCAGTTATAAGTTGGTTTATAACCCCCATTAAGTATAAATATATCTGCCATAAACCCAAGTTATTGGAGTTATAAACTTATAAACCAACTTAGCTAACGAACTGGGGCACCACCTTGTACTTGCTAACTGGCTTGAACATGGATGAATCAAGTATCCTGTCCTGACACGCTGAGAGTTGCAGCTGCTTGTTGTATGAATCCTCGGAGGTAAGAGCCGGACAGGACAGGGGCTGTAATACAAGAACCTGCCAGTATGGAGATGAATAATGGTGAATGAGTTTAATCTAAAGGTAATATTGACAAACATGTTGATTTAGTGATCATATGATAATCTCTATATATTTAATATACACTGAACATTGTTTTTTTGGTAAGATATCATGGTTTATAACCAAAGGGCTGTATCAAAAGTTGAATCTCATGTAGTCACATTCCCTAACACTATTACCACAAAAGCCCTGATTTAGAATTGTGTCTTTTCATTTGGGCGGCTCAAGAAAAGAATAATGAAATGTACTGTAATGTATTACCAATCAATGTCCTTTTGGTAAAAATGGGCTTGGGCGGTTTGGCATCCCCTCTGGTAATTTAACATAGCTATTGAAAATGGCCATAGAAATAGTTGATTTTCCCATTAAAAATGGTGATTTTCCATTGCTATGTTAAATTACCAGAGGGTACCATCTATCATCAAAAACAAACCTGTTGTTAAAGGGGTACTTTCAAATCCCTCGTTTTTAATCAACCAATGGGAAGAGGACGACATCTATGTTACTTGGGGAGATGGGAATCTCAGGATCCAATTGATGGAGCTACGTCACGTTAGTACCATATTTTTTAGGCCATATGAATTGTGGGGATATCCCCTGAAATTTAGGCCCAAAACATAGGCCCAAAATATATGGTAGGTACTAGGTTCCTGAAATGGCCATTGAAATTGGGGAGATGGGATGAATTTTGTTGAGCAAAAAGGCTCAGTCTGTGTGGATGAAAACTGTAAATGGATGTTTTTCGTGGGAAAACCATGGGGAAATCGAGGAAAATCCACTGTCAATGGAGGTTTATAGCTGGGAATATCAACTATAAATGGTGAATTTCCCATTGCCATGTTTGAATTCTCGGAGGGGAATGATCATGTACAAACTCTGAGTCGCTTGAGGATGATCACCTGACACAAGTGGCTCAAGTCGTACTTCATCGCCACACTCCCATTGTGGGGGGCCGGCCCCCCGTAAAGCAGCTACAAATGATACCATCTGGTTATGACTCACAGTTTGCCATGGAAAATCCAACCATTTTTAAGAACGGTAAACCATCTATTTCTATGGGCCATCTATACCATGGCGAACTGTAACAAATAATCGAGGGTACATGGATTCATCAACGATGATGTTGGCCCCAGGGTTGGACTGGAAACAGGGAAAAACACACGAAAAAACACACAAACAATCCGCAGGAAGATCATTTTCAAAAGGAGTTTGCATCCCATTCCATGCAACGAACCAGTCGGAGGTGGATAAGGATCTTTCTGTGGATTGGTTTCCGTGTGCTTTGCGAATCGCTGACAGTTGATCAATGGGAATTTCAGGATCCTAAAATGGAGGTACGTTAGTACCATATTTTTTGCAATATTTTCTAGGGATATCCCCTTACATAGGCCTCAAAAATAGGCCCAAAATATATGGTAGGTACCTCCAATCAATCGGTTCCTGGCCAGCATGGCCATTGAGTTGACAGCCGTGGGTTATGCTTGACGTATCTCCCACTTGAGTAAGTCACTTTTAACCCAGATTGTGAGTACCATGTGGTGCCCCCCCAGTTATAAAACGGTGATTTAATGGTGGTTAAATGGGATTTAATGGTGGTTCAATGGTGATTTAATGGTGATTTAATGGTGATTTAATGGTGCTCCCAGTGATGGCTATGTTGGTTTATAAACCCCATTAACTATGGGTATGTCTACCATAAACCATAGAATTCAGCCACAAACATAAGGCAACTGAACGCTTTCGTTTACGGGGGCCCCATCCTGTAGAGGCAATGTCCAGATGGAGTGAACTCACCGACGCACTTCGTGCGATTTTCATCACTACCCTCTGGTAATTTAACATAGCTATTGAAAATGACCATTTATAGTGGATTTTCCCATTAATCATGGTGATTTTCCAGTTCGCTATGTTAGTCATTACCAAAGGGTATGTTTGGCAACGAAGAAACAATGTGATAGACACAGTAGCCAGCTCGTTGCAGTTGGTCTGCCATATCCTGAGCATGGCTGGTGTCTTCGGGATCCGGGGGGGAAGATGGTGGTCTTCTCTGGAAGAACGACACCAAAAACCATGGCCACGCCGTGTCATTTCAATCAAGAAAAACCTCATGAAATTGCTTCTGTTTCAGGTTCCATCTTAAAGTTTGCATAGAAAAAATCGTGTCCATTCAATGTAATGTTGTCACATACTGGCCGTATGTTCCATCATGTTCTATTCTACTGAAGGGTCATGGTTTCTGGTCGTTAAAGTCTACTGTATCTCAATCAATATTGGATGGTCTTTTTTTGTCGTTGGCGAGTCTGACGAAGAAGCCCCAAAACTGCCAATGCCAAAGAACAGACTAACGTAAGCCCATGAATAAGCCAGCTGTTTAATATTGTGGTACCTATTTTAGTAGCCAAAAAAAACACGATTCTAGGGGACTCAAGTTTTCACCAACCCAATATTAACCAACTGGTTGGTGGTTTTAACCATCTTGAAAAATGATGGAGTTCGTCAATGGGAAGGATGACATCCCATACATGAAATGGAAAATAAAAAGCATGTTTGAAACCACCAACCAGAAGAGGTAATGTGGGTAAAACAATAATAAGCCATCCTCCAATCACATCCAATCACCATAAATAGATCGTATAAACTATTCCCAAATGGTTGGTTTGTCATTGTTTCTATAGATGTTCACATCGTCAAGCGCCCACCTCCCCCTTTCCGGGAAAAAAACCAGCGGCAGCCGAGCGTCGACCAGGTCCTGCCCAGCAGCTCTGGAGCCGGCCATCACCTGGAAGTAAAAAGATGGGGAAAATTGGGAGTTCACTGAAACATCTATATATCTACCCATTTTTTTACTACCATTTAAATGGTGATATATAATTAGACATAGCTATTAAAAATGGCCCATAGAAATAGTTGATTTACCTATTAAAAAATGTGATTTTCCATGTTTTTTTTGTATGTTTACCAGAGGGTATACCATTATAAATTAGCAATCTGGTTGGTGGTTGACCTACCCCTCTGAAAAATGATGGAGTTCGTCAGTTGGGATTATGACATTCCCAATATTATACTGTATGTTCCAAACCACCAACCAGCATTTATATCTATATATCTACCAAAATGATTGCATGACATTTTTTATTGTCTAAATCATCATAAATCGCTTGTTTCTATGAGCAAGAAGTAGCAAAACAACTAGTATTAAGGAATAAATCATCATACCCTATGGATCCAAATACCTTGTTAGGAAGCGTTTAGGGTATGATTTGTGGGGTTAAGTACCTTCTCAGGAGGTGCTAGGATCCACAGGGACAAATCATCCATTGAAACAATGGCCATTTCAAGAACCGATAAATTGGAGGTACCTACCATTTATAAGGCCTATTTTTTGGGGCTATGTAAGGGGATCTACTGCCTTATATCGCACAGCAATAATACAGCCCTTGAATCATATATAGACCAAAAACCCAAGAGATATAATAATCTAGTACAAACCAACACAGTTGTAAAACAAAAAACATGATTTAACCCCACAACGATGGCCCTTAACAGTTATATATAGATATACAAATATATATATATACATATATATATACATATATATATACATATATACATATATATACATATATATATATGCATATATATACATATATATATAAACATATGGGCTTATTTCATGATATATAACCTTAGTTATAGGAGTTAGTTCATTCCATTTACAATTCTTAAGGGTCACAACTGCATGAATGATAGATATATCTACCATAAACCCAAGAGATGTATACTAGTAGAAACCAACTCAGGCAAAAAAAACATGATTTAACCATTTGTCTTGCTTAAATTCCACTTTCAAAGGGGCAAAACTAACAATGTAGAAGATCGAGCCTAGTTGACTATTAAAAACCATGAAACTTAGCTAGCAAAACACTGGAGGAATCACCTCATCGAAAAACCCGGCTTGGCACCTGCAAGGGTGCGCTCGACAGCTGACAGACTTGTCGAAAGAAGTCATCCGCATTCCTGGGTATACCCTCTGGTAAACTAACATAACTAATTATGGAACATCACCATTTTATCGGAAATTTCACTATATAAATATCTATAAATGGTGATTTTCCATAGTTATGTTAAATTACCAGAGGGTAATTCAGGCAGCACTCTACAGGCAACGCTCCCCCAGATCCAATTAAGCAGTGTTCCAAACCTGCAATGTCGTTCCATAAAATACCAAATTATTAGGATTATATATTAGGGTTTCCATTTATGGATGATGAGAATTTCCAATAATATAACACCCCATAATCATCAACTAACAGGGGTTCTGAACACTTTTTTTTTGGGGGGGGTGTTGCCTGGTGAGCACGTGTAAGAAAATGGCGTCACGGGTTGTCCTCGCTAGTGTGCTGCTCTGACGTCACGGTCATGGGTTGTCCTCGTGAATGCGGAATATCTCCTATATGCCGGAGTGCTATATTGAAATTTTATGTTCACTGTCGATGAACGTATAACGGGAGACCGCTGGTCGTGACCAGTATGCATCAGCGCCTATCCCGGTGAAGTTGAAATCCCCATTAGAGACAAAAGAAACTCTGAATCCGAACACCGAAGCTGAGGGAATCAAACATTTCAAACAAAAACGTAAAACCCCGAACACCGCGCAAGCGGCTGAGGGGGAAAGCAGCGAGATCGTGCTTTCGGCTTCCAATGAAGGTCGCCCGTTTTGTGGTCTCTGCGCTTGATCCTTTTCCTCCTTTTCCAATCCTTTTCCTTCGAAAGGTCGAAAGGCATCTCTTTTTCTGGAGTAACCGGGAACAATATGTTCAGGAGTGTGGACCACGACATAAGCATCAGCTGCAACGAGTTCCCATGCATGTCCGTCAGATGTTCCAGGAGATCCGCCGCACCAATTCCTTGTGGTCCTCACCTGCTAACCGGAAGACCTTCAACATCCTTCAACATCATTTCCCTTGTTTCGAAGTGTCCATGGATGTAACAGAGCACCACTTCCGGTTTGTCTGCGGAGACAGCACTTGGAGCTGCGGACTCTGTGTCGTTCATCTTCCTTGCGAACCTCCAAGAGCAAAGGCTCCGTCTCCACAAGGGTTCTGAACACTGCTCAATGGATTCCAAAATGTTTCATTCTTGGTGGTGGTAGTAAGTAGGAAAGATTCTCAAAATGAGAAAAGTTTGCTTGAAGAAACCACCATTTATCTCCCTCTGCGTCTCTGCGTGGCAGAATAACAACGACTTGGGAATATTTCAATCACTGAAATTGGATGCATCTAGTGGTCCAATACCTAAACAACAACATGCGCAATGGTAGTCCGAAAAAATGCATGTTTCACGGCCAAGGAGAATCCGCAGAAGGTGTCACTCTAACGGGGTAGTGTGTTAAGCAACATATCAACTGTATATAAATCAAAACACACACGTATATGTATATATATATATTATACAAATGTATATATATATATCTGTAAGTATGCATGCATTGCAGTACCAACCACCATCTATCCAAAGAATGTAAGCACATATTAACAGGGAAATCACACCCTTCGATCACCGCAAAACGATTCAGGATTAGTTTGTAGCCATCCAGTTGGGTTAACCTAGTTTTCACTGGGAGTATATGGATAGAACCATGGCTTCTCGGAACTTCTTTTGTCTTTTTGCTCCGCCACCCAGCTCTTGATGCCAAGAATCTTGACGCCAGCGCATACGCCGTGCTTCTCCCACTCGTGTTTTTGAAACCTGCAACGGCTGAGTGGCAGGTTTGAGACACCTCCGGATATTCTTCGTGGGTTTGCAAGTTCCCCTGCGTCGGTTTATGTGGTCTTTATAAAACACCAAAAACACTCAAAAAAACAAAGTATATGGCTATAAGCCATCCGGTATGGATGGGTAGTTGGTATGCACATCTTTCTTTTGAAATTACTGCAAAGTCATTGTTAAGCCTGAAACATCCTGAAACTGGCATGATCAATATGGAAAAATCACTACTGTAGCACTTGGCAGTAACATTGACAAGGTTGGGGTAGTTCTTGATGGTTATATATACATATATATATACCATAAATGCTTACATAGACATACAAAGCACTAAAACAATCCTGCAAACTATGTCTTAAGGGATAACCTCTCAGAAGTCTAAGTCTATGCGCTCTTTCTAGCACTGGGAAACATTTCAGCCAATAAATCCATTGTTGCATATTCTTCTTCATGCCTCTACAAATGAAAAATTCAACATACCCTCTGGTAATTTAACATAGCTATTGAAAATGGCCATTGAAATAGTGGATTTTCCCATTAAAAATGGTGATTTTCCATTGCTATGTTAGTTTACCAGAGGGTAAAGCATAGAAAGCTCTAGACTTGTGGAGTGCAGGTTACCACCAGCTGACAGCCAGCCAGCCACACCCTTTCTGCTGGGGTGTCGCACCAAACAGCCGAAGATGAGGACCCCTGCGTGTCGAAACCTCGAAGCCCGGCTTCCAGAAATGGTTGAGTTTTACCATAAATCCCTATGAAATCCCACTAAACCACCATTAAATCCCACTAAATCCCCATTAAACCCCACTAAATCCCAGTAACTCCCATGAACATCCCATAAAATCCATCCGGTTCCCGACAGAACCTTCCCGCCAAGCCACAAGGGTAGACCTTCGTGGGATTCGCCGCGGAGATCTCCGGGCGCTCGCATTCGGAGGTGCCGAAGTTGGAGGTTTGTGGCCAGAGGCCATGAACCACGGGCCTAGGCTCGATGTGATTTTCGTGGGATTTTTTGTGGTTTTTACTAACTATGGTTTATGGTAGATTTTTGACCATAGTATTCATTGGGTTTATAACCATGTTATAAACCAACCACACTGTTTTTGGGTTTATTGTGGAATGGAAACGGGTTTCATGGGATTCAATCGCAAAGGCTGGGGGGATCACTTAGAACCAAAGGATTGGGATCACTCAGAACCACAGGATCACTTAGAACCAAAAAACATCACTTAGAACCACACAAATAGGATCAGCAGACCCACCAGTCCAGATGTTGATGGCTGAGGCTGCTATAACCAGTATGGTGGAATGAGACCTTTCGGGTAACACTTGGGGACACGGGGCTGGGACATGGGGTGGGTTTAGGGGACACGTGGGGACATGGGGCTGGGACATGGGGTGGGCTTAGGGGACCAGCACGGTGGAATGAGACCTTTAGGGTAACACTTGGGGACACGGGGCTGGGACATGGGGCGGGTTTAGGGGACAAGTGGGGACATGTGGGTTTGGGACCAGCATGGTGGAATGAGACCTTTCGGATAACACTTGGGGACACGGGGCTGGGACATGGGGTGGGTTTAGGGGACAAGTGGGGACATGGGGGCTGGGACATGGGGTGGGCTTAGGGGACCAGCACGGTGGAATGAGACCTTTCGGGTAACATTTGGGGACACGGGGCTGGGACATGGGGCGGGTTTAGGGGACAAGTGGGGACATGGGGTGGGACATGGGGTGGGTTTGGGACCAGCCTGGTGGAATGAGACCTTTCGGGTAACACTTGGGGACACGGGGCTGGGACATGGGGTGGGTTTAGGGGACAAGTGGGGACATGGGGCTGGGACATGGGGTGGGCTTAGGGGACCAGCACGGTGGAATGAGACCTTTAGGGTAACACTTGGGGACACGGGGCTGGGACATGGGGCGGGTTTAGGGGACAAGTGGGGACATGGGGTGGGACATGGGGTGGGTTTAGGGGACCAGCATGGTGGAATGAGACTTTTAGGGTGGGTGGGTTTAGGTAGGGGACAAGTGGGGACATGGGGCTGGGACATGGGGTGGGTTTAGGGGACCAGCATGGTGGAATGATGATGATGATGATGATGATGATTCCAAGACGGTTCTAAGCAATCCAAATTGCGCGGTTCTAAGCGATCCAAATTGCGCGGTTCTAAGCGATCCAAATCCCCCCCGCGACCGCTATAGGTCGAAGTCCCTCCTCGCGAGGCGTCTGCAAGACTCTATCGACTGCAAGATGAGGGCGCCCGGCTCGGAGGCCTCGGTGATTCGCGCACGGGCGGGCAATCTCGCGAAGTGCAGCGCCACATGCCTCGCGAAACCCGATGCGGCGTTCAGCAAGGCGGCCTCAAGCATGTCTTCGCGACCACGTAGAGGCCGGCGCCGAACACGCCCGCGCTCTGGCGGTCCGCCAGCACCGGCAGGTCTTGCGTCTTGGTGATGTAGTTCACCGTGAGGAGCGACTCGAACACGGAGCCCGGCGAGTGGTGTTCCTTCCGATACAGGGACGTCGCGACGCCGACGAGCGCAGCGTTCAGTCGCGCGGACCGGTCGCTGATTGGGGATTCAATCAGATTTAATGGGGATTTTATGTGATTTAATGTGAATAATGAAGAGGATTTAATGGGATTTTGGAAATCGACCTGTTGTCAAAGCATCAATGAAACGCTACCTATGGTTCATGGGAGATATATGATAGATATATGATATATAACTATAGTCAGACTATAGTTCATAATAGTTAATAGATCTCTGGCCTTGGTCGTGGGGCCCCCCAGTTACAGGATGGGACCCCAAGATAGCGTTCAGTTGCCTAAGAAAAGTTGTTGAATTAACTATGGTTTATGGTAGGTATAACCATAGTTAATGGGGTATAAACCATGTTATAAACCAACCAGACTTTTTTTGTTTTTTCTTGAATGGTTCAATGGGGGATTTCATGGGATTTGATGGGGATTTCATGGGATTAGATGTGATTTACTCGATTACCTGTTGTTAATGATGTTAATGGAATTCAGTTACATGTGATTTGACCATTCAATAATCATTATTCCATTAACATCAAATCACATTATTCATGGGATTCAATACCTGTTATTGATGGGTCTATTATAACATCGGTGCTGGATATGAATGAATCATCAATAAAATGTTCTTGGAATGGTGATTTAAGAATGGATCAACGTTGATGTGTTCTTTGGGGGAATCTACCCTCTGGTAAACATACAAAAAGCTATTGAAAATGGTCCAGTCGAAATAGTTGATTTTCCCATGAATAGCACGGTGACTTTCCATAGTTTTTTTGTATATAAACGTTTACCATAGGGCACATGTTTTCTCTATCCTCACTGCTTCAAAATCATGCTCAGGCTTCCATGACCCTTCAGGCTCTTCAGGCTCATGCAGCCAACCCAGCGTCGAAAGCATTAGGTTGTCCAACATACCTGGTGATATTTAATGAATCATGATGGTTAATAATGGTATATAATGGTTAATAATGGGATATTTAATGAATAATCATTGTCAATCTTAGATACCTTATGATACCTTGCAAAACAATAAATTCTTTGATGGTGAACGTAGATATTCCCATTAATACCTAAAGACTAAAGGATTAAAGTATCCATCTAAGATTGACCTAGTGAAGATTCTCGATAACCTCCGCCAGCTTTTCGTCACACTGGCATCGAACTTCCGATTCTTCCAAATTCTGCAGAGCCAACTTCAGGTCACTTCGAAAATGCTTAAAAGCGCTTGAAGCGCTACTATTAGAATTAACCTGTTATGATATAGCGCTCAACAAGCTGCTGCTACCTGCTATTGTATAGCGCTAAACTACCCACAAAACCGTGCAAAACACGCAGAACATAGCAGTGCTGCGCACAGATTCCAAAGGTTCAAACATCTTTCAAACTCCTTTCCATGCACAGGGAAGCAACATAATAACACATCATAAAACGCAGTGTTCTGAATCAATTTCAACATTATCAGTAATGTAGGCTGCCTAATAGTAAATCCCCCCCGCCCCCTAAATAAAATAATTATTTTAAAATATTTTTTTAAAAAATAGGGGTGGTCAGCATTCCAATAGTAAATTTTTGGAACCTTATAGCTGGGATCGTGGAAGTGGGGGCAGAGGTGGTGGAGGCGAAGGAGGAGGACGAGGAGGAGGAGAAGAAGGAGAAGGAGAAGGAGAAGGAGAAGGAGGACAACAAAATTGGAGTTGCGGAAAAAAGTTTCCACTATTGCCATGCCTGGTGCAGGTTTGTTATTGCTATTCTGGGGCTTGCAAAGGGGGTACCCTTTGTGGACCTGTTTTCCTGCTTTTTTAAAAAAGGGTTGTATAAGGAAATCAGCTGTTTGGTAATTGGATCAGATTTCTGGAATGTAAGCTTTTGCTAATCAAAAGTGAAAGCTGCTTTGAAAAGGATTTGCTTTACTTGACTCTTTTGGCAATACTAAAAGTAAATGGAGCTAATTGACTTTTAGTATTGGAGACAAAATGGAGTTGGGAAACAAGTTTCTACTATTGACAAGATATCACTATTGGCTAGACAACATTATCAACATGAGAGATCAACATTCAGTTTCCTTCTCACAAAATAGTCACTTCCAGTGATCCCCACCCTTTCCACTAGTCAGATTGAAACATTCTCTGACATATCATCTGACATTGGTTTTGGCATCTCCTTCTGACATTTAATCTAGCATCCTCAACCTGACATATTCTGACATCATACGTGTTTTTTTTTTTTCGTATGGCAGCACTCAAAAATTACAAACAAAAGAATCCGAGGTGCAAGTGCTTGGCACAACAACAGACACCTACCTCAAAAAAGTTAACAGCTACTTGAAACAAAAAGTCCTTTAACTATGTTTCATGGGCGATATATGATATAACTTAACTACAGTTAATGGATGTTAATGGTTGAATTGAATTCCTTATTCAATGATTTATCAAGTTCAAAGTGACTATCTTGGGGTACAACGTGGTGCCCCAGTTTGCGAGCCAAGTTATATAACTATCCATAACTTCAATTTCACTAGGGCTTTTGGTAGATGTATCTATACTTAAAGAAAATTGCAGACCAACTTATAACTGTGGGGCGGCACCAACTTGTATGAAAATCATATGAATGTGGCAAATCTGAGATATCACGACAAACATGTTATTCGTTAAGCTGGATGGTTAGGTTAACGGTTTTTCTCGGTTAATGGCTTCGAGACACGGAATAGATCCGATGCTAAACAATGCCTTCGAAATGTGTTGATCTCTTTCAAAAGTTGACAACTCAAACACTGGCATAACATTGGCTAATCAACCAGCTAATCCACAGGGCAAACCTCAGTATATGGCCACAATCCTTCCAGGTTCGGTCATGGCAGAAATGTTGTCAAAAACGGATATCATGTTATCCAGACTTGGTCATGTTTAAAAAAACTACCCATTCAAAGTGATGATGTTCCATCGTTTTTTGTATGTTTACCAGAGGGTAATCCACTACAAATGGTGATTTGATATAGGGATGATCATGGGTAATGTTCCATAGGTAGTTGGATGTTCATAATCATTAACCGTAAGGACCATAAGGATATGATTATCCATTAACCCGATTCAAAGTGATGATTTTCCATCATGTTCCATCTCCATTAACCAGACCCCTTTCCATCCCACAACGTTGTTGTTGGTGAAATCCCCAAGATCTTCTGGTTGCTGGTTGCTGCTAACCCCTCTGAAATTCATGATGGAGTGAGTGAGTGAGTTCGTCAGTTGGGATTATTGTTCAATTGTTCCCAAGTGTCTGGAAAGTCATAATCCATGAACCATGGTTCCAGTCACCACCAGTCAGGGTTAATCCCCATGAAATCCCCATTTTCATATGGTTTTCCCATGGTTTTCCCAAGGCTTAGCGTTCGCAAAATCCATCTAGGTCAACCAGGTTCGTCGAAGCACTGAGGGTGCGTGTATGCACCCTTCCCCTCACCACTTTCCAACGTCAGCACACCACAGACCTGAGATCCATCGAAAGGGGTCTATTTTTTTTGGAAGACAAGGCTGAGATCGAAACTGGGCACCATGGAGTTTGATGCTTATTTTTCATGGTGATTTAGAATGACTACAGTGGTGATTCATGTTGATTCATGGTGATTGATGGTGATTGACGGTGGCTTTTGGTGGTTTAACCGACCACAACAGGATAATAGGGATTTAACTTGCAAACGTAATGATATTTCATGGATATGGTTCATGTGAACTGGGATAGTGATGGGATACCCGAGCAGGTCATCTTGCGTCATCAAACATGGCAAGCCGCGAACTAGCCGGCCTGGAGGCTAGCCTAACGCTGGGAAGGTCGCTTTTCAATTGAGAAAATCATTGAACTAAACTTGGATTGGAAACCCCCAAAAAAATATAATGACTCCCTAAAGTAGTGGAAATTGAGTTGCAATTCATGGAAAAATCTTACATCATCGACTCAGCCAATCAACTTATGGTGGATGTTCCTATATGTTCCCATTAGTCGGCTGGGGTACTTTCCAGAAAATCAGATTTTCGATGGCAGCAGATGGCACTTGGAAGGCGAAACTGCAGAAAAAGTGCCATGCGAAACTATATGACCCTAAGCTGTTCTTGCCAATGCCACTGCAAACCAATCATGTCCTTTTGGTAAAAAAATAGAGGGGCCGGTTTGGTTTGGTACACCATCTATCATCATAGAAACCTGTTGTTAAAGGGGTTTCTTCATCCCCTCTATTAATCAACCAACCAATGGGAATTTGGGACATCTATGCTGCAAACGCAGGAGATTGTTGGACACATCGCAACATGTTGCTGGTGAAACATGGTGAAACTGCAGATCATCAACTTTTGGCTGGTCAAATCCTGTCAAGTTTGTTGGCAAAACGGTAGATTTGATGGCCAACCCATGCGAGACTCATTCTTATATGTTGGTAAGATACTCCATGTGTTTCAAACAAAAAATCCATGGAACCCTTATTTTTCAATGGACATTCTTCTGGTAATCTACAAGCCCCTTGTTTTTTGTTGCCAGACCCCCTGCCTGTTGCTATAAGCCTCCTTTTTTGGGGTAAACCCTAGCAAGATCCTCCGACAGAATCACCCGTGAAATGTGTAAGGGCTGATTCTGTCAATCTTGGACACCATGTTTCAGTGGTGGGTATATGTTATATAGTAGAAAACAAATTATATATATATATATATGTATTATATCTGGGTAAATAATAATAATAATTCACTAACCTGAAATAAGGTCATTTGGGGATAGCTACCCCTACCAACCATCATTCGCAGAGGGAGAACTGTGAGGTCGTGATGAAATTTACCCGGATATGTATATATATATAAATATTTATTTATTTATTTATTTATATACTTACAATGTGGGGCCCCCAAGATCAGTTGGTTTAGAACTACAATTTCAGTTTATGGTAGTTATAACCATAGTTAGATGGGGTTATAAACCAACAAACATAAGGTTTGGGGGCTCCACATCCCCGGGGAAGGTGCCCAACTACCACCCCCAGGTCCTAAGATAAGATTGCGAAGAAACTTCCGGTTCAAAACCTCGTCTTCCACAGGAAAATAACGGCCATATGGAGGGTAGACTAAGCATTTTCATGGAAACACATGGAAATATATGGTTAAATACATGCTAACGCTTCAACACATGAAAATATAGTTAATTATACTAATAATTGGTTATATAGTTCATGTTAGTTACACCCCGTAAAATATATACCCACTAAATACCTATTATAACCCCCATTGAATCACATTTAAACCCCCATTGCCCTGCAGCTGGAAATCCCAAAACGAGCCATGGAGCTACCGGAGGGTCACCAACAAAAATGCTAAGCAGTGGAACGCCCTCCGGTCATCAAACATAGCAATTGAACATATCATCCATTTAAACTTCAATCATGCACACAAATATATATATATATAGATAAACTAGTTGGTGGTATACCTACCCCTCTGAAAAATATGAAAGTCAGTTGGGGTTACTATTCCCAACATATGGAAAAATAAAATTCATGTTCCAAACCACCAACCAGATATTTAGTCAATGGGAAGGATTATCCCATATATTCTGGAAAATAAAAAACATGTTTGAAACCACCAACCAGTTTATATTTATATAATATATATTAAATTATACATCATTGAATTTCCCCATAAAAACCTCCATGGCTCGTGCAGGGATTTTCCAGCCACGTTTGACAGACAAAATCAATGGGAATTCCAGGATCCTAAAATGGAGGTACGTTAGTACCATATTTCAGGCCATATTTTGTGGGGATATTCCCTGAAATTTAGGCCTAAAAAATAGGCCTCATATATGGTAGGTACCTCCATTTTAGGATCCTGAAATTCCCATTGAAAAAAGGGGGACCATCCCCGACGCTTCGTGGCTCCGCCTCCACGTCTTTACCGCAGTCCATGCGATGCCCGTGGCTACCGATGGTGCTGCACTTGCCATGCCTCACACCACCTGCGTTTTTCGCGAAAAAAAAAAGGGGGTTCCAAGTCACTCACTTGGATTTCATGTCCCAATGATAGAAATTCAACCAGTGAATTTGGTTGAGTATAGTTGAGTCAATCACTTACAGTAGATGATTGGCTGGGTTGAATTCTGTAAACTGATTTTAATGAAGATGTCAAATGATCATAAAAATCATTCATCTGTTCAATGCATTCAATGGAATGATTTCTTGGTGGTTTCTTGCTGTAAAGAGTTGATCTTAGTGAAATCGGAATGTGATAGTGATGGCAAAACCAGCTGCCCTCCCCCCCAAAGAAAACGCCCCCAAAGAAAAACGCGAAGCATATGGCTACCATCCATCCAAAACTTGGATGACTTGAAGAAAACTGCAGGAAACCATCGACATCTTGACAGCTTCACAACAGGCTGGTTTGTGGGATATCACCAGGTACCAAATCAACGTTGCAACCGAAATCAGTTATCTACCATGGGTTTACCCATGGTTTACCCCCCACCCGTCTGAAATGTCGTCTGAAATAGATGGACATAGGGAGCAAAACAATGCCCTGACATGTCGCACATCTGATTGATTAATTGGATATAATCACTGAAGGCACAAGAGAAGCCTGCCAGGTGGGCATGAATCCAAGGTAGTGCCGTTATCAACCAACTTCTCTACGGCACTCTATGTTTTGGGCTTCATTTCCAGTTATGAAACAAATTCAAAGTGCTTAAAGAAGTCATTGCTGGGTGAAAGACCACCCTTGAAACAACCAATAAGACACGCCCAAGCACATGCCTTCCAGAAAAACCTTTTGGGAAAGGAAACCAGAATGATTTGATCTGGATGTTGGTTTCCTATCCTATCTGAAAAGTACCCTATGCTAAACTGTCACATAACGAACTGAAAAATCACCATGTTTAATGGTGATTTTCCAGTTTGTTATGTGACAGTTTACCAGGCCGGGTAATTGGAAAATGAGGGAAGGCCGTGGCCAGTGCACAGTAACGTGTACAGTAACACCATCCCACCTGTCCACGTGGTTTGAAAGCTGCTGTGCGTCAAACCGCATCCTGCAGCGGCTGCGGCCAGTAGCTTGGCATGGCATGGCATTGCTGCAGACAGGAAACCCTGGTTCTTGGGTTTTTAGCTGTAAAAGTAGTCTGTAACCCATAGGATCCATGGTGCTGCTATATATGGTGTGCCATGGATCCCATCAATATACCCCAGTCATGTTAGCATATATACCAGCACCATGGATCCGTCATGGGTAATTGGGATTTTTCAATTGCCGTGTTTGACTACCGGTACCGGATATCTACAAAAATCTTCTGATTGGTTGCATGTCGTGTGGCTGGAAATTCCGGAGTTCACCCTCTGGAGATTTAAGCTGGCAAGAAAAACCTCCGTTGATGTGTCTATATGGCTGATTTTGCCAGAAATTATGGGAATTTCCTGGCCATGTTTGATTGCCCTCTAGCTATCTAACCTGGCAAGAGAACATACCTCAGTCACATGAATAATTGTTCCTACATTTTTTCCCACGAACACATGATTTCCCATTGCTCAGGTATATTATGACAGGGCGATGTGAAGCCCGGATGAATACACTCTGTTGGTTATTCAATTCGGGGGTTTACCCAAAAAGAGTGCGACATTTTTTGGGTATTCAAATGGAACCCCCCTATTAGATCCTATTAGTATAATGAAAGGGTAATCCTGGGTCAACAGCAAGGTAGTGGCTCCCGGGATGCAAACCATGATTCAATATAAGATATCCAAGAATGTTTGACACATTTATAAAACAACTTCGCTCACATAAATCACCTAGATATCTATACTCTTGTTATTTAAATCCCAATTTTCTACAGCAAGACCTTGAAAACAACTTTCTTTGAGTGACCCCACCAAATGACATTCTATCTGACATATATTCTGGCATTCTGTCTGGCATATATTCTAACATTCTGTTTGGCATTCTATCTGACATATATTTTGACATTCTATCTGGCATTCTTTCTGGCATGTCTTCGGGTCCATTCGTGCCCCGCTGCTTCTGGAGCTTGCGCTGGGGTTCGGGTCCATGCGTGCCCAGACTGAACTCGAGTTCGCGATGAGCTTCTGGCACTTGCTGTGAGCTCCGGGTCCATTGGTGCCCACAGTCACGACGAGCTGGCAAAGGGATAGAGGACACACGACAGGTTGGGAAAAACCACCAACTGGTCGCGATAAACTGGAGTTACCCTCTGCTAAACGTTTACATAACGAACTGCAAAATCACCATTATCAATGGGTAAATCCACTATTTCTATGGCCATTTTCAATAGCCATTTTGACACAACCAGAGGGTAATCAATCAACTCCAAACGAACTATACTGGTTGGTGGTTTCAACCCCTTCTGAAAAATATGAAAGTCAGTTGGGATGATGATTCTCAATATATGGGAACATAAAAAAAGTTCCAAACCACCAACCAGATCAGGCTTAATCCCCATGATTTCCCCATTTTCCAATGGTTTTCCCATGGTTTTCCTATGGATTTATGGTGATTTATGGTGGTTTAAACCTCAACTATAGACCTGTGAATCTCGGCGCTTCACCTGCCGGTCGTAACGCTTCGCCACCCGGCCTTGTAACGTGGCGACCATCAGCAGCGCTGTGGCCACCACGGTGCCGTGGCACATCGCCATGGCGCCAAAGGGAGCGGACGGAACCGCAGGTCGGGCTCCAAAGAAGCTGCGGATGAGGACACGCAGTGATGTTTGTTGATATTATCAATTCAATGGATTGGTTTAAGGGAAAATCTACAGGAAACCATGGTTTTTACCATCAAATATAGGGGTTTCCTGTTAAATTTTCCCATCATCCAATTCTATGATCAATGGGATTTTCAGGATCCTAAATTGGAAGTACCCACCATTTTTTTGAGGCCATCCCCATAAAATATGGCCTTATATGGTACAGTACCTCCATTTTAGGATCCTGAAATTCCCATTGATATTATGTTAATAATAAACACTATGACTATAATCACTAGGATCACTCTAATCACTATAATCATCGCTAAAATAACTATATATTATGTTCTAATTGGTGGTTTCAACCCCCCTAAAATATATAAGTCAGATTGGATCATCATCCCAACTATTGGGGAAAATAAGAAATGTTCCAAATCACCAACCAGTTCTGTTAATAATAAACACTGTAATCACTATAGTCACTATAATGATATTATATAAGATTACATGCACTATAATATTATTCATGACAATGTTATGTTATGTTAGAAATACAAATAACTAAAATAACCCCTATCATAGGTATATAGAGGTTGGGACAATAATCGCATAAATATTGCTGACAATAATGTGGGGAATTTTCATGTGTAGTATTGCCATGTATTGCCCCTAAAGCACTCATCTCAAATATTATGGATGATGAGATGATAATGAATTATGAATGGAACATTAATGGGATAATGGATACAATGGGAAAATGGAGCCCTAAAATGTCGAGGATATAATGGGCTAGTCATAAGATGCGAATGTATTTTTAGTGGAAAGTTAGGTCGTCATCCATCAAATATTTGGATGTAAGATGCTTTAATCATCTTGACATGGTGAATATGTAACCAATACAATGTAAAATGCAACCAATAAGGGCCCCCAAATGACTAGAACAAGTACTAAACCATGGTTTCGTTTAGTTGGTATTTAATATTAGGGAAAAGGAATTATATACCCAAAAACTGTGATCTTTTTCCAACAGTTTAACGACAAGAAAAGGTGCTTTAGCAACTGTAAACAATGGATCTAAACAGCAAACGTAGAGATCTATCCCAGAAACATTAGATTCCACATGATTCCACACCATTCAAATTGACCTCTTTATCCCCTGGTTTGAGGTCACTTAACCCTGGAAATGTTCACTACCCCCAAAATAGTCACTTTGAACTGCCAGGTTCATGTGTGTTTTAAGACAGGTACATGTGTTGTTGTGTAGCTAGGTCAAGGGTTGGAATTCTGGTGGATATATTCTGCAGTCGGATGCATCGGCATCAACCAGTCTAGAACTGCCGGTCGCTTCCTGCATGTCTTGTTTGTTTATCCAGAAATTGGGAAGCCCAAAAATGACATGTTCACAGGAAACTGATTGTGCAGGATTTTGGGGCAGCCTACTTTCGAACAAGTCACTGTATAACAATAAGTGGTTAGCAAGTAAGTTTCTCTAGGCAAATCAATGATCATATTTATCAAAGAAAGGAACACCTGTCAAAGATAGTAGGGCTGATGAGCGCTTATGGTGGATACTTGTTTCAGGTGCTCTCTTTCGCTCTCTTTCACCGCCATTGCACTGTGATGCAATGTCTTTGACGACATCTTACACTCCTGAAACTGCACCATCCAAACCCCAAAACATATGTGCAAAACCAAGGTTTCCCATTCCCAGCTACTCTTGGATTGGCTTATGGAATCAAAAAAACAATTCTCTCCAAAAAACCTGGTCGATTTCCCATTTGGAATCTATGCAAATCCCCTTCAACAAAGCCAGTCCAGGGTCCAGGCTATGGCCCGAAACCTCCCTCACTTTGATGGATTTTGCTGCTCAGTTCATCCTAGATGAACCTGGAACTCACCTAAAAACCATAGGATTTAGTCATCATATTATCGCTTGGCATTTGGCCAAAAAATCTCGCAGATTCCCACCTTCGGGCCCTTGGGGGAAGAGAAATCAACAATGGCAAACAAACATGCTATATATAACTCTTAGATCAAGTACCCTCTGGTAAACTGTTACATAACGAACTGGAAAATCACCATGTGATAGCTGGGTAAATCAACTACAGTAGTTCTATGAGTTCTATGGCCATTTCCATGGCCATGTAAGAAATTACCAGAGTGTAAAACCCATTCAACTCATTCCACATTCAGAATAACTGAACACGAGAACCCTGACTATTTTCGTCACAACCCTGGCACCCCGATGGTGCATAGCTAATTAAGAACTGTTCTTTCCGACAAATATGGTAACAATAAACTAACAATACTGGTTGGTGGTTGACCTACCCCTCTGAAAAATGATGGAGTTCGTCAGTTGGGATTAATTATTATTCCCAATATATGGATACATATGGAATATTATACTGTTAATGGTGGTTAATGATGATGGTTACTATATGGTTAATGATGGTTAATAACATATATGGGGCCTGGGGGAAAAAGACATCTTCCAAACCACCAAGCAGAATAGGTTTTGATCCATCCTCGCAGCGAAAGTGTTTCCCTGGGCCCCTGGGAGTTCCGGACATGTCGAAGGTGCTGAAGTTTCGGTTCATAGCCAAACCATCCAAGCTGAGTCCTAGGATACCGTCCTTAGCCAGGGATTCAGTGGGCTAAGTGTTCAAGCTTCAAACATTCTTACCGGTGCTTAGTAGGGAATTTTCGGGAATGATCCACTGGCTAACTATCAATAATAATCCCCACTCCCATTCCCATCCATTCCCTACTAAGCACCAGTAAACATGTGATGATCATGTTTTTTTTTGGCATTTGTTTGCCTATCCGACCACTCAAAAAAAAACAAAATATTGAAAAATATCCTGCAAAAATCAAATTCTTCAGGACAATATCAACTAGACCCCAACCACAGTTTTCAGGCAAGTTCACACCCAAACTCCACCAGAATGGCGCGTACCAAATCAAAATACGGAATCACCATCAAAAATGCCCATATTCTGTAAGAAATATGAGGACAAACTATGGGAACAACCAGCGCCTTCTGCCCAGTGGCGAATTTGAAGGTCTTAAAGGGCACTGTGGACATTTCGATGGCCACAATCATGTTCATCTCCATGCACATGGGGCCTCGGAGGCATGGATTATTAATGCCAAGGGTTGATAACTGGTTGACAACTAGTTGGGCTGGTGTTTACCCAGAAACATAGAAAAAAAAACTATGGAAAATTGGTGATTTATAGTGGATATACCCATTAAACATATTAAAAAAATGGTGATGTTCCATCTCATCCAACAAAGCAACAAAGATCTAGATCTTTTGAGCAAACCACTCCATTCAGTCCGATGAATCATGATGAATCACCATCGGGACGCAGGAACGTTCTTAAGAGCCCCGAGGTGGAAAGTAGTTTTGGTAGATGACAGTAGAATTCTGAGGTGTAGTGAATTGTGGTCACAACCTGCAATATCTGCAATGTGGTGCCTCACAGTTCTGTTTTCTTTTTGACATGTAAACACGATTATATGACTAGTTCGACATGTGTTGATTCTCTGCTACAAGTTAAGTTTCAGATTCTCAACTGGGTAAAAAACTACCATCTAACACCAAAAACACAATAAAAAACACATAAGTTGTATGTGTTGCCATATTCAACAATCGCCGCCTCCTCCATGCGAAAACCTGCTGAAATCCACTGAAGTTTGGGGGTGGCAGCGACCTGCCACTAAAAATCGCCCCCGTTTTCCCATCTCACTGGTCGGTTGTTTTTCTCATCCCCAATAATAACAAGTGCCAATCTCAGATCCCCTGCAAAAAATGAAAAATTCTCAGCTGGTGAACGTAGATAATCCCATTGATACCAAAAGGCTAAAGGATTAAACTAGATTAAACTAACTACCCAATCTAAGATTGACCCAGTAACCAGGTGGTATCACTTCTTACAATAACCCATGGGCATTTTTGCTCACATGCCCGGCAGTGGATTCTCGGGTTGCTGCACATTCCATCAAGGAACTGGAGACCAGTAGCAACCAACACATCAATTGTAGCTTGTCTCTAAACAGGTACCTGCGGCATCTTATGTTCTGATTAAAACACAGAACAACTAATCCACTGCACCATGCAACCAAACAAAAACCTTTCAACATCTGTAAGAAAATGTCAGAAAATACATTCCGCTATATCATGGAACAAGAAAACAAACATTGCAAAATCACACTAAAAACTCATCCAACATTAACCAACTAAAACTAAAGGGGGCCCAAAAATTGGACTTCCTCAGCACCGGAAAAAACCCATCCTGCTAGGGGGCTGTGATCAGCCACCACCTCCATACCATCCGAAGAAGACATCTGGGTCTCCTGTGGCCATTGGAAAAGCAAAAAGAGCATGGGGGGGTCGGAAAATCCATCTATCCATATTCACCCCCCAAACTTCAGATGGAATCAGCACTAGTAAAAACCCAAGAAACCCAAGATTTATGCCCATATCCGCTAGTAAAAGAATCTTTGGAAAACTGTTCAAGGTTCTCTCGTTGAGTAGTCCGAGGCTTCGAAATGTTTTATAGGAAAATTTGGCACTTTTTTGCAGGATGTTTCTTGATTTTTCCCAAGACACCCCAAAAACCAATGTTTGCCAGGCAAAAAACGGTCGGTTTCGCCCGAGGAATTGAAACAGGTTCTTTGCCCGGAAATTTTGGTGGTGATTTTTCACAGGTTGGATGTTGCAAGTGGTCCCCCGTTCCTTTTTTTCGGTTGAAATCGGCAAGAGGATGCTCTTGCCAAATCCCATCAAAAAGAACGCCAGAACGACATCGTGAAACAAGACTGAGCATGTTGAAACACTTTTTTTTATCATATAATCGGCAAACATTAACCAAAGAAACTTTAGTTTTTTTGGTAAGTTTTTGTATGATTTCTTGGGATGGGACAGTGTCAGTCATCCTCGTCTAACATGTCTTACGCATGTTTGTTTTTGCTTTGTTTTTTTTATGTGACTTAAATATGATAGGTTGAGTCGCTGAAACATGTTTTAAAAAACATGTGTTCTTTTCCCATGACGGATCCATGGTGCTGCTATATATGGTGTGCCATGGATCCCATCAATATACCCCCTTTATGTTAGCATATACCCTCCGGTTATTTAACATAGCCATGGAAAATGGATGAACATGGCCCATTTCTAGATGGTTTACCGATTAAAAAATGTGATTTTTCATGGCTATGTTAAATAACCAGAGGGTATATACCAGCACCAGCCGGATCCGTCATGGCTTTGGTATGGGCATCATTTGGGGATGGGTCGTGTCAAAACCTGTTATTGCCATAGCCGCTATGCCATGGTGGGATGAACATCACCCACTTTACACCCCGCAACCAGTTTCGAGCTTTCGAGGTTTCGAGGTTTATTTCTCTGACCCACTGGATTTTTTGGACCCAAAAAAAACACAGTTGCAGTATGAATTGTGGCTTAACTATAACTTAACCTATAGTTGCAGTTAATCATAAACAAATAGTTAACTATAACTATACCGGACTATACCAATAGTATCCAATAGTTTATGATATAGCTATACCTATAGTATTCATGGGGTTTTATTTGCCAATATAGCCATCACATTTTGGGGGCACCATCCGGACTCCAGGACACCGATCGGCTCTCAGACCGGCGCAACCATCAAGCAACCTGGTAGTCGTGGATCCGAAGGCTCTCTTGCTTGATCAAGGCAGCAATCTCCTCCGGTGTCACCCATATGTGTCCCCCCTGGTCCGTTAAAAAAATGCCGCCTTTTTGAAATTGGAGATGCCCAAAATCAACCATGTTCGCATCATTTGCACATGATTATATATGTATATAATACTTATAATACTTAACATACTTATAATACTTATAATACCTAATAAACATGGTTGGTTGGTTGGTTGATTGGTTGGTTGGTTGGTTGGTTGGTAAACTCCTTGCACAAACTCCACATCTTTGTTTGTGAAATCCATATCTACCCAGATAGTCACAGCAATGCCTTCTGAGAATATGACATTGCTATGGGAAATGACTTTTGAAACTGGTAAATCATCTATATATAGATGGGTCATGTTCCATATCTATGTTCCATATCTATGTTACCATCTGGTTATTTAACATAGCCATGGAAAATCCACCCATTTTTTATGGGTAAACCTCTATAAATGGGTCATTTCCCATGGCAAACTGTTAAATAACCAGAGGGTACCATAACATTATCAGTACCATTAGGAGTACCATAAACTTACATTATTAGGTACCTAATTACCATATAAACCATATAGTTATTGGGTACCATATAAACCAAAGGGTATGCCCGTTTTCAACATGCTGATTTCAGCGTTGCGCTTTGCAACATCTCTCCCAGAATCCCGGCACCTGGTCCCTTCATCTCTGAGAAAAATATCAGCCAGAGAATGACTTTGCAACGGAAGAAAATGGTGGTTAATATGTGGTTATTATACTGTTAATGGTGGTTAATATATGGTTACTATATGGTTAATGATGGTTAATAAATACTCTCAACTACTTGGGGGGGGGGTAGATATATAAACCTATAGACCCTGAGGGATGGGTCTTTTCAAATTTCCATTGGAAAAACCTAAATGCTGAAAATGGATCTCTCCAGACCTTCCTGTAAACGGTAGAGCCTGAGGTCTGATCAGTTATCCTCACGAGGTCTGAAGAGGTTTCCCAGACACACTAATATGGGCACATAAAATTATATATATTCTTGGATTCTCTTGGATTCTCTTGGCATATTCTTATATATATATGTATATATTCATTCTTAATATGTTCCATTACCTTCATTTACCTTCAGCATCAGGTGCAAGATGAGCCAGGATTGGATAACATTTTTTTTCCTCTCGCGACTGGCTTGTCCGTTGTGGATCCTTGTAAGCAAGACTAGGCAGCTGCTTTTGCCAATGAACTCCGATTCAGCCGAACCATTTTTTCAAAAAATCGAAAGTTTGTTGAAACTTGGAATCTTGGACAGGAATTGATAATGGAAACTTCAATCGGATCCATTGCCATCAGACTCTTCAGTCTGATCTTCTGCAGCTTCTTCCAGCGGGTTGGATACACATTTCACAGATGCAATCTGTGCTACTAAGCCGTTCAATGGGATCGTCGATCCGTCCTTCAGAGCAGTCGACACCTCAAGTTGTTCGTTTTTTTTTCTCAAAAAAAAAGACTGGTGCTGGAAAGGTTCTATCACAAAAAACATCTCAAAACCGATTACCTTTCGACACACTCCAAAAAAAAACGAACCGAAAAATAGCACCAAGCAACTTCCACCAGCCACTTGTGGACACGGTGTCCAAAATCGATCTTCTTTCTGATGTTCGTGAAGTAGATGGAGAAAAACATCGGTGCTTTTTCAAGCAAAGCCGTCAACTTGATCTGAGTGGCCTTGCCGTGCTCACTGTAGCGAACGAACTCCTCGTTTGGATCAAGCATTGGTTTCTTGACAAAGGCCTTTGCCTGGTCAACCAACAACCGCTTGACTTCTTGCCTGATCAAGGCAGATCCTTTCTTTGAGCGCCTAAAATTGTCGATGCTCGGTTTGATATATCTGGAAGGGCGCCCTTTTGCAACCACCTTTTTCTCTTTGCAACCAGCTTTTTTGAACTCCACCTTCAGGTAGTTCAAAGCTCTTTGGGCATCCTGCCAAGATGTTGCACAAAGCGGCATCCACACCCAGGGTCTTTGTGGAAATCTTTTGGGGGTCAACTGTGGGTATAAAGGTAGAAGGCCAGGGGATTCTATTTCAGACCCATGAGTAACATTAAGATGCATTAAGTTGGATCTTTTAGCTACATGGGTACATGATGTAGGGTCTGAGTAGGTATCCTTTGAGTATTTGTGTCTTAATAGCTTAACAAACCCAATCGTATTTGACTTTGGACCTTCAAAGTGGATTGAACACTGCTTCCATGACAGTGCTCAGCAATTTGTTTTCATAACAGATCCACACAAATTAAGTTAGATATCTAAACATATCTAAACCATTCCAACACCGTCTAGCTTCTACCACAGGGAACCGACATGTCGATAGCTTCCCAGGGTCTTTGTGGAAATCTTTTGGGGGTCAATTGTGGGAATAGTGGTAAAAGGCTGGAGGATTCCATTTCAGACCTATGAGTAACAATGAGTTCCCTTTTTGGATCTTTTAGCTGTATGGGTACATGGTGTAGGGTCTGAGAAGGTATCCTTTGAGTATGTGTGTCTTCATGGTTTGACAAAACCAATGGTATTACACTTTGGACCTTCAAAAAAAGTAAAATATGTTTTCATGAATAATTAAAAAACATACAAAATAATTGTTTTCATGACCAATTTGGGCTTGTATTATTCCAGACCAAACCCCAGAAAAAGCTCCACAAACCAAACACAGCTCCTCTGGGAGAAGAATCTTTAATCCTTGAATGTTCACCTTTTTCTTCATCTCAGCCGTATCCAATCTCAACCCGATATTGTCGCATGGTACAACCACGCAAGTCGAGGTGGAGTTGCAGCTGTAGACTTCTTTGTTCTCAGGGTCCAGGTCCATGATCACAACCCGTGCAGAATGCAAGCTGCCCCGAGGGATCTCTTGTGTCACCTGCTGTGCGCCGTTGCCCTTCTTGAAAAAGCGCCACAGCGTCAGCACAGCAGCCACTTTCCAGTCTCCTTGATGGTGCACTGCGACAAGGTCCCCGCTGGAAATGGCCAAATTCGTCGGCAATGATGGAGCTGCTTTGTGTCTGGCCTTTTCTGTTATTTCGACCCAGGCGCTTTGCCTGGACTTCCGTTGTCCAGGGAGCTTTTCCATGGCATCTGCCTTGGCCACCTCATGCCGAAAGATGTTCTGCCACTTTGTCGGGCGACCCAGCGACAGCTTGCGGGTGTGTAGAGGGTTGGGTAGCACGTCACTGTCACACCCGAAAGGAGCCATCCTCAAGTAGCAAAGAAGGCGCACGAGGTCATTTTGTGCTGCCTCCACAGATTCATGCCCTCGAAGAGCTCGACTGAGAGTGCGACGACCATCCCTGGGCATGAAGTAGTCCATATCCGTTCCTGTGATCACATCTGCAGGTCCAAACATCTCCATCATCGCCTCATTCAGCTTCTCATTTGTCACATGATCTCATTTATGTGCCTTGAGTCGTGCAGTGTCCTCTGCCATGATGCAGCTGATCTCTTCTGGCTCTGCTGTGATGGCTTCATTGCTGCCATCGCCATCGTCCAACTGCTCCTTGAAAGCTTGGCTTCCACGAATGCGATCCAGCACCTCTGCAACATCAGCTTTCTCTTCCGGAGTATCGCCTGTGAAGAATGGGGTGCCAAAGAACTCTGCTTTAGAAAAGGCATGTGACAAGTCATGGTGGGTCCTAATGGATGCTTCTATCAATGAAGGCCCAAAATTTCAAACATCCTGTGCCTGCATCCTCTGGACATGGATCTGCTTCGATTTCTGCTTCGCACATGGCCCCAGAGTTGCTGTGGTTGAAATCGGCTTGCAACTGCTCAGGTGTGATGCCGCTGCTGAAGGAGCATAGCTTGAGAGCTGCCTGCCATGCCCTCTGTGCTGTTGCACAGAAATCATTTGTGGACAATTCTTCTTCTGGATCCTTCTGTGCTGGAAAGTCGTTCTCCGCTTTCCGGCGTTCCCTCCTCATACAGGTGGCTGAGGCCCGCCAGTAGTCCGAGGCCGCCATAATGGAATTGGGGAAGGAGGTTCGGATGCGTCCGAATCTCTTCTCCAAACAACGCTCAGTGAGGCATTCCCACCGCACTGTGTTGCCGCCAGCAAAGAGGGCCATAATGATCGATCCGGCCAAATCTTTGAGATTTCGATGCGAGCGAGCATCAAGCCACATGCTTCGCAAAGGGACACCTGCAGCTTTCGCGCGGTTTGATGCCATGAGGATCCCAAGGTTCAGCAGCGCAAGGCCTACGCTGAATGTTCCAGGGTCTTCTTGGTTTAAAACCAACATGTAACAAAGGCGATGGACATGTTATGCAGGTGCAAACTTGTCCAGACCCCGAAAACGCCTGAAAAAATGCTGGGCTGAAAATACACCCAAAGATGTAGCTAATGAACTTAGCCCCACCTGTCATCGTGACCTCAAGGCGCCACTTGCGATTCTCATTTCTGTGCAATAATCCTGCAGCCAAGTCTACACCATGTGGACAGGAAATGGGATGGCATGGGTCTATTTGGGTTTTACATATCTTTTACCTAGCACTGAACATGTTTCAACTAGCAAGATACTTCCTTAGACCCTAGCCATTGATATCTGCATCATTTAGTAGGTGATGTCTGCAAAAAACAGGAACCAGCTGTCATAAGTCTTCAATAACTGAAAGTTTCAAAAAAATCCACGACGATCTGAATATATCTGATGAACATATTCGCTCATATCCTCAGGGTCTAAAACAGTTTCCCCACGCATACACATGATCAAGCCACAGTTTAGCTAAGAGGAAACAACCCAAGACCCTGTTACACAGTCCTGCCATCACGTGACCTTCGATGAGGGACATCATAAAAGCTCCTCGCAAGCACCATGGGATGGAGAACTCTTTTGCTTCCAGGTCGGACACAAAGTTCAGCGGGTCCAACCTGTGTGAAAACACTTGGACAACAGAAAAAACAACTCAAAAAAGTGGCTTGTCGACAGCTTTCCAGGGTCTTTGTGGGAATCTATCAGGGTTCACATGTGTACATGGTGGTAAAAGGCTGCAGGACTATTTTTCAGACCCATGAGTAACATTAAGATACATTAAGTCCATTTAAGTCCACTTTTTGGATCTTTTATGATCTTTTAGCTATATGGGATTATATATGATTATATGGTACATATCTAAACATATCTAAACCATTCCAACATTGTCTAGCTTCTACCACAGGGAACCAACATGTCGATAGCTTCCCAGGGTCTTTGTGGAAATCTTTTGGGGGTCAATTGTGGGAATAGTGGTAAAAGGCTGGAGGATTCCATTGAGTCCCCTTTTTGGATCTTTTAGCTGTATGGGTACATGGTGTAGGGTCTGAGAAGGTATCCTTTGAGTATGTGTGTCTTAATCGCTTGACCAAGCCAATGGTATTCCACTTTGGACCTTCAAAAAAAAAATGACAATGCCGAGACACAGAAGAGCAGCTTGCTTGTCACTCATCCCGTCATACCCTATGAAGGCAATTGGCCACAATCCGGTCTCAAGCGCGGCGCTGCAATCTGATGCCAGGTTGCCGAAGCAAATGGTGCGGATCACATTCCGCATCTGTTCGCAAAAATTCTTCTGGATGTGAGCAGGTCCTGCAGACAAGGTCTTGTTCAGGTTGCTTTCAAGATCGCTTTTGGACGTGATTAAACCGAATTCACATGAACCTGAACTGCATCCCTGTGCCTGGGATGTAGTGGATGCTCTCTCCCTTGACTCGCACTATTCGCCACGGAAATGGGATGCATGTCATTGGAAGATCTTCCTGCTGTAGCTGCTTCCAGAAGGGAAGTTCTGACAACAGGTCTTTCTGGAGAGAAATCGTTTGTCCCAGAAGCAACTCACGAAGCCACAAGTGAGAGCCGTGTCCATCACATATGATGAATTTGATGCTCTCACAATTTTCGAAGACCTCGCCGCACCTTGCCAAAGTCTCCCACTTGCCCCGCAGGTTGCGAGGCTTCTCAATCACCGACTCGAACCTGTTGTCTTTGCTCGCACCTGCCAAGCAAGGAAACGCTGCAAGTTCAAACAGCAATCTGCTTCCCCGTGTGCTGTCCCACACTACGAAGCTTTCCATCTCACTGGCTCGGAAGATGTCCTTCGTATTGAATTTGATTGATGGAACAGCTGCTGGTTCCTCTCCGTTGTTTGGCCACTTTCGAAGCAGAATCAAACTCTCGTCATTCTCCATGAAGCCCTGCGGCCTGTGGACACCTGCAGCCGCTGGCACATTTTGACATATATAAACATGATATATTGTAGGATATTTTGATACATTTCAAATTATGCATGTTTATAGCAATTTATATCCATTTAAAATGTTCATTCTCTGTATGTCTCAGTGCTGCACAATGATGCACAATGATGCACAATGTATATCAATGTATATCAATGCATTTTGAACAGCTGCATGGGTTCAAAGTTGAATCAGGGTCTGAACAGATTTCCTTGCTGTCCATGGGTCTGGACTATTTTGCCACATTGGAAAGATTCTGTGTGAGACCCTGCCTCCAGACATGTAGCTGCCTTGATCCGTGCTCAGCAACTGGATGGAGCTTTCGAGATACGTCCTGTCGAAAGCACAGACTAAACGTCGCTGCGGAGCATCAGCAGGACGCGGGAACATCACGCTCACGCAGTGATCATTGGCCTCCAGCTGCTGGCTATCTGGGCTCATGATGACAGGCAGTCCCCAACCGCGTAGCTTGCACAGTATGCCTTTGAACTCATTGTGTTCAAGCCACCTGAGTCCGAAAAACTCGAGCGACTTTGCATTGGCGCCCAGCGATGCCAACTCTGCTCCAGCCTCCAGCAGAAGATTGCGTTCTGCCTCTGATCCTCATGCAGAACAATCTGGGTTCATTCAAATGATCTCCATCAAATATCGAACCAACACATAGTGTGGAGCTGTGTTGGAAGCCTGAATTGGGAAATCTTTTGGGGGTCAACTGCGGGTATAAAGGTAAAAGGCCAAGGGATTCTTTTTAAATATTTTAGCTATGTACATGATGTAGGGTCTGGGTAGGTATCCTTTGAGCATTTGTGTTTTACTAGCTTGACAAACCCAATCGTATTTGACTTTGGACCTTCAAAGTGGATTGAACACTGCTTCCATGGCAGTGCTCAGCAATTTGTTTTCATAACAGGGCCACACAAATTAAGTTAGATATCTAAACATATCTAAACATATCTAAACCATTCCAACACCGTCTAGCTTCTACCACAGGGAACCGACATGTCGATAGCTTCCCAGGGTCTTTGTGGAAATCTTTTGGGGGTCAATTGTGGGAATAGTGGTAAAAGGCTGGAGGATTCCATTTCAGACCTATGAGTAACATTGAGTCCCCTTTTTGGATCTTTTAGCTGTATGGGTACATGGTGTAGGGTCTGAGAAGGTATCCTTTGAGTATGTGTGTCTTAATCGCTTGACCAAGCCAATGGTATTCCACTTTGGACCTTCAAAAAAAGTAAAATATGTTTTCACGAGTAATTAACAAAAACTGTTTTCATGACCAATTTGGGCTTGTATTATTCCATATTATTCCAGACCAAACCAAAGAAAAAGCTCCACAAACCAAACACAGCTCCAATTTTGAAATACCATTGGTCTATGATTTTGTTCCCTTGATGCTCACTATATATCCCAAAATAAAAATACCCCAGTGGAGTCCCAGGATCGCTTCGGGTTGCGCATTGTTGTCGTGCCCTTCTCGATGCCCTGAAGTCTCAAAGCGCATGCTGTCATGACCTGAACTTTCAAGGTTGCTTGATCCAGTGTATTGTCTTGCTGCTTTAATAACATGTTTTTCTATCTAGTTTCCATACCATACCAGCAACATAGATTCCAAACCAAAGCTCTGAATTGCAAATCCAAGGTGCTCCGTGCAGAGCAGGGTGCCTCCGAATCTTTCCAGTGCAAATCTGGCGGACCATGTCTAAGTCTGCTCTACTTGTTCCTTCTTCACTGGCCATGAACTCGATCAGTCGGTTCAGGTACGACTCCTTCAATGCATGTCCCGGCTCACAATCAATACAGGGCTGCACCGTGTGTATCATGAACATCTCGAGGCTCTCGGGCATACCCGTCTTGCATCCCTTTCGGCCCCACCAGTATTGACTGACCTGGAGCATGGTAGAACTAAACATCTTGAACGAAAAACATCGAAAAACATCATCAACAACATGACAATAGCTTTCCCAGGGTCTTTGTGTAAATCTGTTGGGGGTCAACTGTGGGTATAAAGGTAAAAGGCCAGGGGATTCTATTTCAGACCTATGAGTAACATTAAGATGCATTAAGTTGGATCTTTTAGCTACATGGGTACATGATGTAGGGTCTGAATAGGTATCCTTTGAGTATTTGTGTCTTAATAGCTTAACAAACCCAATCGTATTTGACTTTGGACCTTCAAAGTGGATTGAAAAGTACAATTTGTTTTCATAACAGAACCACACACAAACGTATTTTGACTGATCCCGGCCTGTTTGTGAAGTAGCTCTACTGGCATTGCGAACATTCTGTCGTACATCGTCCTGCTGCGGCGCTTGTACACGGTCTTCTCTTTCATCTTGCTGATCACTTCCTCTACAGTCTCTGATGCAAAGTTCCTGGCATACAAGAGGCGTGCCATGTCCAGGTCGGCGATGAAACTGCAAACCTTGCTCACAAACCTCAGAGACAAAGCAGGGACTCTGATCCATACCTTTGAGGATCATATCGTATGAAGTATGCATATCTTGATATATCTTGAGGTCCAACATGTTTTCCCTCAAGTTTAAGCGGCTTTCTGCCAACGTTGAGAAGCTATACACATAAACAGACCTTGTGATCCATCAACGGAGTAGATACCGAGACCCCAGCACATTAAAAAAAATGATAAAATGAATCCAAGAACCTTTGATCGTTCACATACTCGTAGCAGGCTTGGCACACCATCTCACCATCTTTGCTTCTGTGGACGTAGGTTGGTGTGGAATCTGGAAGATCCTTTGTCAAGCAAATGCATTTGGGACTCTGGATGGTCCAATCTCTGCCACCTTGGTGCATGTGGACAACTCTGCACTGCTTGCCCTCGACGTTTTCGATGGCTGTGAAATCAGCAAAGGCTGCATATTCATCCCAAACAGTCCTCAAGTCCTCAGGCAGTTGCATGCCGATAACTTCCCAGGGTCTTTGTGGAAATCTTTTGGGGGTCAATTGTGGGAATAGTGGTAAAAGGCTGGAGGATTCCATTTCAGACCTATGAGTAACAATGAGCCCCCTTTTTGGATCTTTTAGCTGTATGGGTACATGGTGTAGGGTCTGAGAAGGTATCCTTTGAGTATGTGTGTCTTCATGGTTTGACAAAACCAATGGTATTACACTTTGGACCTTCAAAAAAAGTAAACTTTGTTTTGATGATATCTGATGACACATGATGATATATGATGGGTAAATGACAGGTGGCTAGCAATCTGTTTTGGACAACAAACATATTTAAAAACATTCAAAAAGGCCAGGGGATTCTATTTCAGACCCATGAGTAACATTAAGATGCATTAAGCAGCTCGTGCCTTGAAGCTGTTGAGGGTGAACTCTTCAAACAAAATTAAGTTGGATCTTTTAGCTGTATGGGTACATGATGTAGGGTCTGAGCTGGTATCCTTTGATCATTTGTGTCTTAATAGCTTGACAAACCCAATCGTATTTGACTTTGGACCTTCAAAGTGGATTCAAAACAATTTCCATTGAAAACCGTTCCATTGAAAACTGTTGCCATCACAGCCAAATCCAAGGGGCGTTGCCAATTCTCGTTTGCTGTCCGAAGCTGCCGTTGAGCCTCAGGCCACTGCAGGTACCCTCCTTGACTGACACTGTTGTCGAGAAAAGATCACGATGCAGACGACCAGGTTCATCTGGCTCCTTCGCTGGTACAGGAGGTGCTCGTGCAGTGGCTTTGGAATCACGTCTGGCCCAATTCCTCTGGTGTTCTTGCCCACCGCAATGTTGCCACAACTTTGCTCTGTTGCGGCCTTCAAACCATTTCGCGCAATGGCCACACCAGACTGGCCATTTTTTCCCATGTGTGCCCTTCTCACCCCTCTCGAGACCATAGAGCCTTTAAAGGGTCCAGGCAGCATAAGGCAGCACATGTTATTTCAGGGTCTACCATAGTATTCATTGATTAAAGCTGTTTTGACTTTCAAGAAGCTGTCCTCAGTAGGTCTTGCTTGCCCATGCAAGCTGCATCTGCGTCATCTATCTCGTCCTCGGACTTCTCCACCTTCTCCTCTTTGACCTCGTCACAATCCTCCTTCTTCAGCTTGCAGCGCTTCTCCGCAGGATCCTCATCTGCTTCTTTTGCTGCATAAACCCTTTTGATTCCGGATTTGAGCTTCTCGTGGTCCTTCTGCATCTGGTCACGCAAGCTCTTGACATGCTCCACCAGCACTGGCTGAGTCAAATCCAGGGATTCCAAGAACTGAGAGCAAATATGGCAGCCAGTGTCCCATGTGCCCTCGCCCTGGGTTTTGATGCCCATTGATCTTGACCCGTGACTCTTGGTTTGGGGAAAACAATGGGAAAACATTGAAAGCCGAGAAAATATAGCCAAGCCCAAGGCAAGGCACAAGTGCAGCTGTAAACCCAGCCCATGACTGATTGTTGGTACACATGCTGACACCACGCCTGAGAAGCCAGTTGCAGGATGAAAAACATATCTAAAACATTCCAATTCCAACACTCCCATGGCTCTCCAGGGTCTTTGTGGAAATCTATCAGGGTTCACATGTGTACGTGGTGGTAAAAAGCAGCAGGACTATCTTTCAGACCCATTAGTAACATTAAGATATATTAAGAATCATTAAGATACATTAAGTCCATTTAAGTTCACTTTTTGGATCTTTTATGATCTTTTAGCTATATGGGATTATATGGATACATGATGTAGGGTCTGAGTAGATATCCTTTGAGTATGTGCGTCTTAATCGCTTGACCAAGCCAATGGTATTCCACTTTGGACCCAAGATTTGTCTTTTTGAAAAGTATCAGCCAAGGTGCACGCAGACTATGTGTCGTCTGTGGAAATGGGTCCATGTCTTGAAAATGATGCCCCTTCTTGCAAGCCACCTCTCGATGTAGTTTTCAAACTTCAGGCGCTGTGCAACTGGAAGAGATTTGCCCGTCCGTTTCGGTTTCTTCGGGGCAGAATCTTGGTCAACGTTGATCATTTCATTGTCGGGCGAATTGCCTGGGCTGGAAGCAGACCCTGAATGTTCATGATTTTTCGACAACTGGGGACACCAAAAGCAAAAGCACTGAAAACATCTAAAAACATCTAAAAACTTCACGACCTATGGGAAAAGGACAGAAAAAATGAAACCTGCTAAGACACCTGTGGTGGGAAGCAATCGTTTCTTGCTTTCTCTCTTGTCCGGAGTAAATGGATCAGCCCTTTCTTTCTTCTCTTCTTGCTTGTTCTCTTGCTCAACCTCCAGTTGTTCATCATCTCTAGCACGAAATTGCCTCAGGACCTGCCAAAGTCTTTGATACATAGGCTCATTGGACAACTGGTACCACAATACCTGCAAATCCATTCGTAGTTTGGCAGCTTCCTCTGCTGTCACCTCGTGCATGGGGATGTCCTTGATCAGTGACAGCAACATGTATACACCACAGTTGCCATCACCCCTGACATGTCGAGCTAGCAAGCCCTGGCTGTCGTACAAGAACTTCTGCATGCGCAAGAAATTGTCCAATGACAGTTTCTGCAATTCTATTTCTGTCTCAATGGAGATTTCCAACTCTACATCATCCAATTCCTGGAGACGTTTTTCCAATGTTTCCACCTGGCGATTGCAACATTTTCTGGCAGCTGTGGCCCATTCCTCCAAAGCAACATCGGAGTGTGCCACCTGGTCAGTTGGCAACGCAGGCACCCAGTGGTTCATGGCAAGGATCTCCTGGGCTTGGGAATAGTCTGCTCGACAAAGTACTGCAACAGCAGTGTACCGAAGTTCCTCTTCAATGCCACGATCCAACTCAAAGTCAGGAACAGTCTGCTTCACCCATTCGGTTGCATCTACTTGTTCTTGATGGCCTTCAGGGAGGCAATTGCCGGAGCACTATGTATTGACTGCGCAGAAGGTTTATTATAGTTTATCTTAGCATCATTGGGTCTAATCAGGTTTCCTTCTGGCATGGCCTTTCTTTTTCTTCTGGAATTCTCAGGGCAATATCATTTCAGACCCTGAAACTTGATTCCAGTTGAAGGTTTTGAATTTGGAACCATAAAAAATTTTGACAAACGAGTCCCTGCCCTTGTGTGCCTTCAGCATAGGAAAGTATCTTGAGTCGAATCCCATGCATGGAGCACAGCAGGAAGAGGTCCCCAAACTCCAGGTAAACACCATTTTTGCCTACTCTCCTAGACCACTGCTTCATTTCTTCGGAAGCGGCTTGACCTGGCCAACTTTGGGAAATGAATGTAAATGTATGAAAATGAATCATTTACACACCGGCTAGGCAGACCCCATGGATTAAACTTCAACTTCGGCCTGCATTTGGAGGAAGATCTTGTTCTGGGGAGATCTTTTTCCGGGGTGTCCGCGGCATCTCATCCGTGGAGTCTGGAGGCTGGCCAGGACCAGGCTCATCTAGCTGCTGGCACATAAGATCGAACCTCTCTGCATGAGCTGCCAACTCCTGCAACTTCGTCAGCTTCTTCTGTGAGAGCTTTTCTGGCGTCATCTCACCTGAAAAGCAACTCCCAATGCAACACAAAATCAACATGTTTTACTAGCCAGTGGGGTCCTAAATCAAATATCCCATGGGTAAAACATCAAAACAAAGGGGAAGCCTGATGGAAATGCATCCAGACCCTCACTCAAAGACCTATGATGCCTTAAACCTCAAAACATTCAAAAACATCTTCGTCCATGAGTAATGAAGTCCAAGACTGCGCTCAACAAGTCAAAAAAAAACATTAAACAAGACCAAACAAGATTGTGGGCCACCTGAACGCAGAACTTCTCCACCTTGATGGTCCCCGCTCGTCTCTGGCGCAACACCTGGCAGCAAGGCAGTTTCACTAGCCAGTGGGGTCCTAAATCAAATATCCCATGGGTAAACCATCTAAAACAAAGGGGAAGCCTGATGGAAATGCATCCAGACCCTCACTCAAAGACCTATGATGCCTCAAACCTCAAGATTGTGGGCCACCTGAACGCGGAACTTCTCCACCTTGATGCCCCCCGCTCGTCTCTGCCGCAACACCTGGCAGCAAGGCAGTTTCACTAGCCAGTGGGGTCCTAAATCAAATATCCCATGGGTAAACCATCTAAAACAAAGGGGAAGCCTGATGGAAATGCATCCAGACCCTCACTCAAAGACCTATGATGCCTTAAACCTCAAAACATTCAAAAACATCTTCGTCCATGAGTAATGAAGTCCAAGACTGCGCTCAACAAGTCAAAAAAAACATTAAACAAGACCAAACAAGATTGTGGGCCACCTGAACGCAGAACTTCTCCACCTTGATGGTCCCCGCTCGTCTCTGGCGCAACACCTGGCAGCAAGGCAGTTTCACTAGCCAGTGGGGTCCTAAATCAAATATCCCATGGGTAAACCATCTAAAACAAAGGGGAAGCCTGATGGAAATGCATCCAGACCCTCACTCAAAGACCTATGATGCCTCAAACCTCAAGATTGTGGGCCACCTGAACGCGGAACTTCTCCACCTTGATGCCCCCCGCTCGTCTCGGCGTAAAAAAACAAAACAACACCTTAGCAGGCAGTTTTCACTGCCAGTGGGGTCCTAAAATCAAATATCCCATGGGTAAACCATCTAAAACAAAGGGGAAGCCTGATGGAAATGCATCCAGACCCTCACTCAAAGACCTATGATGCCTCAAACCTCAAGATTGTGGGCCACCTGAACGCGGAACTTCTCCACCTTGATGGTCCCCGCTCGTCTCTGGCGCAACACCTGGCAGCAAGGCAGTTTCACTAGCCAGTGAGGTCCTAAATCAAATATCCCATGGGTAAACCATCTAAAACAAAGGGGAAGCCTGATGGAAATGCATCCAGACCCTCACTCAAAGACCTATGATGCCTTAAACCTCAAGATTGTGGGCCACCTGAACGCGGAACTTCTCCATCTTGATGCCCCCCGCTCGTCTCTGGCGCAACACCTGGCAGCAAGGCAGTTTCACTAGCCAGTGGGGTCCTAAATCAAATATCCCATGGGTAAACCATCTAAAACAAAGGGGAAGCCTGATGGAAATGCATCCAGACCCTCACTCAAAGACCTATGATGCCTCAAACCTCAAGATTGTGGGCCACCTGAACGCGGAACTTCTCCACCTTGATGGTCCCCGCTCGTCTCTGGCGCAACACCTGGCAGCAAGGCAGTTTCACTAGCCAGTGAGGTCCTAAATCAAATATCCCATGGGTAAACCATCTAAAACAAAGGGGAAGCCTGATGGAAATGCATCCAGACCCTCACTCAAAGACCTATGATGCCTTAAACCTCAAAAACATTCAAAAACATCTTCGTCCATGAGCAATGACCCTCAAAAGTTGATTCTTCAGACCCCCCATGCCCACCTCCGTGCTGCAATTCTTCAGCTGGTCCACCTCGGGAACAAGGTGAGTGAGCATGATCCATCGAGCTGTGGTGAAGATATGTGAAGATGATCCATCATGGTGGGACATGGTGCGTGCACATTAACTCGAACCGCCCCTTTTTTCATGTTTCAGCAATTTGCTGCTGGCCAGCCGCCATCCATCCTGGCAATGATTGAACAGGACATACGAACTGCCCTCACCATGCTCAAGTTCAACTGCTTCAGACCCAGCAATACAAGAACCTGTTTTCAGCACCGAGCAGCTCTTCTCCTACTGAAGTCAGAAGGTAATCTGGTTCTGAAGTCTCGTCGGTCTCGGCCGATATTTACATCTTTAACGTCTTTGCACAGCTGTCCAAAAGAATCTTAAAGATTTTGGAACGCTGTGATCCAAAGCTTGAAAATGGCATGTGCGAAGCCGCTGGGGTAATGTGCACTGAAGGCTAAGTCTTTGCAGCCATGCACTGACATCTTTTTCTGCTCGCCATCTTTCTTTTCCTTGATGTAGTACTTTCTTGGGATCTTCCTCTTGGCCTGCCTCCTTTCCTGAGGCGAGCTTGGGCAATCAAGTAACTTGCCATTTATATCGGTTCCTAGTTTCGTAATGTTTCGTACCTATATGCCGAGTCTCCAGTCGTGCACGGAATTTCGCACGGTCAGCCTTCGTCATCTTCTTGCATAGAGTGCCCATGTCTGGCAATGTTCCTACCAAATGTGTCGGCTTTGGAAGGTCATGGCCAAAAAAGGCCAGCCTCAATGAGAGCACAGGTCAGAGGTCTAATCAGATTTTCTTCTGGCATGGCTTGGAAAAAAACATGGAAGTCCCAGGGCGATATCACTTCAGACCCTGAAACAATGGCACAATAAATTAATTAAAATTTATATCCCCGTTCAGATTGGACCCGAGGGGTTGGGAGCCCCATTTTGTAGCTACAGAATGGCGTCCCCAAGGTGCCCTTCTTACAAGTTGGAAGAGCCCAACGTTCATCGAGGAAGGTTTTTGTCACAAAATGGCAGTCCAAGCTGACCCCTAGTTACAAAATGGTACCCCGATTTTGCTCGACTCGCATCCGCTCGCATCCGTTGGCTCGATTTGCCCTTTACAGAATGGTGGGGACTGGGGGTAGCTCTACTCGCACTATCCCAGGATCCCTAGGCAGTAACCTGCAACAGCCTGGCCAACCCGAGTCGCGATTCATTTTTCCCGTTCTTTCGCGTTCATCAGTCTGTTTCGGCGTCATATTGATCTTTCAAATTTGGGCCTTAGCACTAACTTTGGAAGTCAAACTTCCAAGTTACAGATATTGAACATTCAAATTTGGGTTCACGCGCCGTTGGGGGTGTCTTCCATGGCCCAACTAGGCCTCAAAATGCCTCAAGTTGGTCCCATCAAAGCCTCAAGTTAGAAGGTTCCAGCCAGGTATATTAAATATACCTGCCAAAAACGACTCAACTGCAGCCTTCCATGGCCCAACTAGGCCTCAAAATGCCTCAAGTTGGTCCCATCAAAGCCTCAAGTTAGAAGGTTCCAGCCAGGTATATTAAATATACCTGCCAAAAACGCCTCAACTGCAGCCTTCCATGGCCCAACTAGGCCTCAAAATTCCTCCTCACTTGAGGCTTTGAGAGAGCCAAGTCCGTGGAACCCCCCCGCGGCGCGCGAACCTTGGTGCTGGATAGGAATGCTGAGGAGATCTCAAGAGGCCCTTTTTAAACCGGAAGAATTGTATGCCGTGCCTGCCAGGCAATATTGATACTGCACCTTGCCACTGTTTTTTTTATTTAATCCCCTTTGTGGATTGGGATGGAAAGGGCAAGTCAAGCCTCATCAACAGGAACTGAAATAATGCTATGACTTGGGCAATCCATCCACTGGGGTTTCAACCCTAAAAAATAATGTTTCTGGATTTGATAGGGCAACTCACCCTTTAAAAAGAAGAAGTGAGTTGGGCAATCAATCCAGTAAATAGATATATGGGACACCTTCAGGGGTTATAAATTCATCCCCAAAACTGTGCCTATTACAAAAAGAAAAAAAGGTAAGAGGCAGGGTATTCGTCTGCTTTTTGGGGTCTCTGCCACCGAGCGCTCCGTTAATACCCTGCTCTCCCCCTGTTTAAAAGGAATACCTATGTAAAAACTTAAAACTACCTATCTAAAAAAACTAAAACACACTCCACAAACACCCCAATTCCCAGTTCCATGCCGCGGTTCTGACACCTGACATCCTGTAAGAGGATAGGATGGATAAATAGGGCAAGGATAAATGGGGCAAGGATATGGAAAAATGGAAACCCTGGGATAGTGATCCAACCCCTCGAATAATAACATGTCTTAACAATCCATGGGCACTGGTTAGAAAATACTTCCATCCAGATTGTAGGGTCTATAGTTGAGCATTCTCCATCTACACTTTGAATCCATCCAATTTGTAATGGTTATTGATTAGCCCTCCAGACTCCGACAGAATGGTCGGGACTGGAGGGTAACAAACTCGCACTTCCAATGCAAAATTCCGGTGCCAGGGGGGAGTCCACTTACAAGATGGCAGAACTCAGGGTCAAAATTTTGCACAAAACCTTGGCGCGTCAGATTTAGTAACAAAAAATTCAACGGGGATAAATTTATTGTTTCAGACCCTCCTATTGATATCTTTTTAACTTGAACAGCCCAAACAAAGAACAAGGTTCCATGTGTGGATCTTCTTGCAGAACAACAACGCAGACAATGCGAGCATGAACTCCATCTTGAACAAATAGCTTGATGAAGGCTGTTCCACTATGAACCAGAAACTCCGGTGACGCGACAAGAGTTCGAGGAAGCATGCCATGTTGGAGGCCAGGAGATTGGACATCCTTACACGTTTGTTTGATGTGTCTCCTTCAGGCCCAAAGATGTGGCGCTTGTGTACCGAAGTGCTCCTGAGCTGTGGGTTTCTAACAGCATCCATTGGAATCCACTGTAACAAGTCCTCTCAAGCATATCTAACAAGGCAAGCGACAAATAAATATTCATGGCACACGGAGGCCCCAGGATCACCATGGCTCCTTGCACCAATCTCAGTCCCAAACCTTGCAGGCGGGGTTCAAGCGGCCAAGTCTACACCATGTGGACAGGAAATGGGATGGCATGGGTCTATTTGGGTTTTACATATCTTTTACCTAGCACTGAGCATGTTTCAACTAGCAAGATACTTCCTTAGACCCTAGCCATTGATATCTGCATCATTTAGTAGGTGATGTCTGCAAAAAAACAGGAACCAGCTGTCATAAGTCTTCAATATCTGAAAGTCTCAAAAAAATCCAAGACGATCTAAACATTTTTTTCATATCCTCAGGGTCTAAAACATTTTCCCAGGGCAGACACATGATCAAACCACAATTTAACTATGAGAAAACAACCCAAGACCCTGTCTTAAACACGAGAAACATCATAAAACAGCTGAAAACTCGTAATCAAGCAACGTGTCAAGTGCAGGTATCCCCTCTTGCCCAAGAGGTCGTCGCTTCTAGGGTTCAAAGCTATGTCATACTGGATGGCTGGGAAACCTTTTTTTGTCCAGTGTTTAGCCATAGACCCACTGAAACCAAAGACATCGAGGCAGCATAGATTTCTGACACCCTGGTAATCCCTCATCAGAGAGTCAAGTTCCTCCTTGTGGAGCGAAGCATCGAACCAATTGTCCTCATCCAACGAGGCACGTAAGTCTTCCTGCCAGGGCTGAGACCAACACTTACAAAACTATACAAAACACTTGGGTTTTCCCAAAACCAACACTATACAAAACTATACAAAACTGACACTCCTTGGTAGCTTCCAGCGGGAGGATGCAGCACAGCAATGTCCACACAGCGAAAAGCAACGACATTGATCACTGGCTCAGAAGATCAAGGAGAGAGCGGACAGGGCTTTGGACAATCATGTCTGAGGTTTGTCCACTGAAACCCACACAGACACTCCTAGCAGTTTTGGATTCACCTAGAAGGGTCTGATACTGTTGATGTTGCCTTCTCAGGAATGTTTGTCCACTGAAACCGTTGGGTCAAACCATCTTAGACCCACTCCAGTCCCAACAATCCTACTCAGAGATTCCATTTTTTGAAATTGATTTCTCAGCAGTTTTGGATTCACCTAGAGTCAAAAAAATAAGGTGTTGAGATGCTGTGCAAAGATATCAAACCCAGTCAGGTCACCGTGGCCCCACACCTACGGTGAGAGGAAGCCGGCTGAAGCGATGTCTTTGGTCCTGGCCGCAGCAGAGGTCAAAGGGTCTGATACTGTTTATGTTGTCTTCTCAGGAATGTTTGTCCACTGAAACAGTTGGGTCAAACCATCTTAGACCCACTCCAGTCCCAACAATCCTACTCAGAGATTCCATTTTTTTAAATTGATTTCTCAGCAGTTTTGGGCTCACCTAAACTCAAAAAAAAAGGTGTTGAGATGTTGTGCAAAGATATCAAACCGATTCAGGCCACTGTGGCCCCACACCTGCAGTGAGAGCAAGTCGGCTGAAGCGATGTCTTTGGTCCTGGCCTTAGCAGAGGTCAAAGGGTCTGATACTGTTGATGTTGCCTTCTCAGGAATGTTTGTCCACTGAAACCGTTGGGTCAAACCATCTTAGACCCACTCCAGTCCCAACAATCCTACTCAGAGATTCCATTGTTTAAAATTGATTTCTCAGCAGTTTTGGGCTCACCTAAACTCAAAAAAAAAGGTGTTGAGATGTTGTGCAAAGATATCAAACCGATTCAGGCCACTGTGGCCCCACACCTGCAGTGAGAGCAAGTCGGCTGAAGCGATGTCTTTGGTCCTGGCCGCAGCAGAGGTCAAAGGGTCTGATACTGTTTATGTTGCCTTCTCAGGAATGTTTGTCCACTGAAATAGTTGGGTCAAACCATCTTAGACCCACTCCAGTCCCAACAACTCAGAGATTCCAAGTTTTTTTGCCCTCAGCAATCATGATCCTCGACCTGGCATCGTTCTGTGGGCCACTTCGCATCAACTAGGCACAGCCTGTGGCATTCCTAATCAATCCTATCCAGGCGGGTGTGCAACCACCGCGTGATAACCCATCCATGTGATCTCATGAACTTGCGCAGGAACCTCAAACAGACATAAGGTAAGTTGCAAACAGTAACTTGGTGTTTGTTTGGCCCAAAGAAATCCACACAAAAAATGACCAAGCAAAATCAAGGAGCGGACGCCAGTGATCTGCCCCAGCATTCAAATGATCCAAATAGCTTGTCTCGGCTAGGCCAAGGTCCCGGAACAGGCGAAGTTTCTGTGAAGGGATAACGGGATCTTCTGACAAATAGACACGGGTGCCATCATTGTGGAATGCCAGCAGGATTTTGCGAGACTTGGCCTTGCGGAGTGCCAATAAATTTCAAGAAATCAGGCTGTAAAATATGAGAATGGGCAATAATGGGCAATATGAGAATCTATCAGGGTTCACATGTGTACATGGTGGTAAAAGGCTGCAGGACTATTTTTCAGACCCATGAGTAACATTAAGATACATTAAGTCCATTTAAGTCCACTTTTTGGATCTTTTATGATCTTTTAGCTATATGGTACATATCTAAACATATCTAAACCATTCCAACACCGTCTAGCTTCTACCACAGGGAACCGACATGTCGATAGCTTCCCAGGGTCTTTGTGGAAATCTTTTGGGGGTCAATTGTGGGAATAGTGGTAAAAGGCTGGAGGATTCCATCTCAGACCTATGAGTAACAATGAGCCCCCTTTTTGGATCTTTTAGCTGTATGGGTACATGGTGTAGGGTCTGAGAAGGTATCCTTTGAGTATGTGTGTCTTAGTGGCTTGACAAAACCAATGGTATTACACTTTGGACCTTCAAAAAAAGTAAAATAATGGGCTGGTATGGGTTGATGCTACTGTGACACCTTGTTCTCCTTTGTTGTTGATGCAGTCGATGGTGTCACAACAATGCCGCCGCTGTGAAGTTGCGTTGTCAGCCTTGCCCAAAAGTCTGGCTTTGGGTGCGATGGGAGAACCACCTCCCCAGCACGCAGTGGCCATGCACAGGAGCTAGAATCGATTGACATTGCCCAACCAACTGTGAACCAAAATGATCTGACTCACAGCGGTCTCACTGTGAAAAAAACTCTTCCCCTCAGCATCTCCCAAACACATCCAAACACTCCATTCCCAGAGTCTCCTTGAAAATCTTGAAAAGTCTGGACAAGTCCTGCAGCTGCACGGAGTCGAGGTATCAACTCATTGGAGATTTTAAAAAATTGGGTGAACTCTTCAAACAAAAAAGGTGTTAAGCTCTTCAGCATGAAGCTGCCGACATCACCATGGGGGTCGCGGTTGCGCATGGTTACACCAATCAGTGTGGGTCTAACATTGTTTGCTGTGTGGCTTGTCCCAGCGTGTGGCTCGTCCCAATGCTGTGGGTCTAACATGAGCCTGGTAAGCTGATCCGAGCAAAGTGGAATGAAATCACACATTTTGAATTGCAAACGATTTTGAATATCAAAAGACCCAGCAAATCAGGGCCCCTGCTCGTCTCTGGTGCAACGCCTGGCAGCAAGGCAGTTTCACTAGCCACTGGGTCCTAAATCAAATATCCCATGGGTAAACCATCTAAAACGAAAGGGAAGCCTAAATGGACATGCATCCAGACCCTGGCTCACCTGGCTGATCGTTTCCGCTCAGCGACTTGGCTCCTGCCATCAACAACTTGGCTCCTGACATCAACTCCTGCACATGTGAAGAAAAGCTAAAGCACCTGGTACATCCCCTCCAGGTGCCGAAGTCAATTCATCACCTCAGCTCTTGCGAGCATGACTTCCACGTTCATCAGCTGTTTCCATCTCTTGGCCGTCAAAGTTTCAAAATGCTAAAGATTGTTGGTCCGAGAAGTTGCAGTCAATCACACCCTTTTTCATCTTTTTCTATCCGCCATGGATTTGTCCCACAAGCAAAGTAGCACACAGCTCCTGCAAATGGCCGGTTGTGTTAAGTAGTGAGTGGGTCCATGACAAAGGTCTAACACTGAATCCCTGGAGTAATTCTTAACCCATGGAAACCTTTGGCCTCAAAAGAAACGTGTTCAGACCCTGATCCTATATCTAAATCTATATATGTCTATCTTATATAATCCTACTATATATGATTGTATATTATTGCATCCTATTGTCACAGAGGATCTTTTCATTCCAGCACCTGTTCCCAATTCCCAAGGTCTCCTCATTCCAAAAGCGTCCATGTTTGCAGTTCCAGCACCGCTCTCCTGCAAGTGTCTTGCGTTCAGTACTGGCTCAAAGACAGGGGTCTAGAACTAAATACCTGCAGGGAATTCATTCCTTTGAAACCTTTGGCCTCAATTGAAACAGGTTCAGACCCTGATGCAGCTATCCATTTGGTACTTTGCCCTTGATCAAACATTCCACCCCAAGTCCCAAGAAACCCGCCAAGTCTCCTGAATTCTGCGCTTCAGGCCAGGCCTGGACGCAGAAATGGTTTTCCCCAGGCCTAAACCATAAAGACTCAACAGAAAAATGTGATGCTTCCTGCACACGACTCGATCAATTCAATTCCTTCCCTTGTCAGGAGATTTGAGACAATTTAAGTGGGTGGCTGACAAAGGTCTAACACTGAATCCCTGGAGTGATTCTCAACCCATGGAAACCTTTGGCCTCAAAAGAAACGTGTTCAGACCCTGATCCTATATCTAAATCCATATATGTCTATCTTATATAATCCTACTATATATTATTGTATATTATTGCATCCTATTGTCACAGAGGATCTTTTCATTCCAGCACCTGTTCCCAATTCCCAAGGTCTCCTCATTCCAAAAGCGTCCATGTTTGCAGTTCCAGCACCGCTCTCCTGCAAGTGTCTTGCGTTCAGTACTGGCTCAAAGACAGGGGTCTAGAACTAAATACCTGCAGAGAATTCATTCCTTTTAAACCTTTGGCCTCAATTGAAACAGGTTCAGACAAATCAAGCTACCCCAAGCCGATCCATTTTTCTGTCACAAAGCTTGCGACACATCCCTGAAGCTTCAGCAATTTCACGGAATTGAACCACTAACTACACTGAAAGGTGAGCATGCCATCAGATATCTTTGGCCTTCCGATTCCTTCTGGCCACACTTTTGAAGCAATGCTGGCAATACTTTAGTGCCAGCAGGCTGCCGTTTTTGGCTACAGAAGGACAATCTGCACTTGAATGGTAGCTTCCACCAGCCCTGGTCACATACACGAGCTCTGGAAAATCCAATCGCCCATCACGAGTGCAATCTTGATCATGCCGATGAGAAGACCATCTACACAAGCATGTTGCCACAAGCATCCCAGCTGCAGCCCCAACCACAAAAGCAACCATCAGAAAAAGATCAAAAGCAGACATATTCTGTCTATGGCCACAACCACAGCGCTGAGCTTCGTACTGCTTGGCCAAAATGAATTGCGGATGCAGCATGATGTTTTCAGTTGTCTTTCACTGTGTCATGACTCACTGGTTCACTACATGCTTGGGACATTGCTTGGGACATCTTGGGACTAAAACACAACACCAAAGCCAGAAGGAAAAGTCACCAGAAGCAGACTCTCTTGATGTGACTAAACTATACTGCATTTTTCCACCAGCACAAACGCAAATGGTCTGTCAACATCACTCATCATCACTCTTGGTCTCGGTAACACTGCTATGAATATCTATGCGAGTCTTCGTCCATCTTGTCAGGACCCACCCGCAGCTCTTCATCCACATCTTCAGGAACCTGAGCAGCTTATTGAACATGGATTCATTTATATTCCACATGTGCCTAGGAATCCAAAACAAAAACAGTTACATTTTAGAATCCACCAATATGCTACATGGACTCCAAGAAACCTCTGCCAATTGCTCTGACAATGGTCTGAACAACCTCCCTGCAAACAACGGTTCTCTGCCCTCTCCTTGATCAGGCTCTCAGCGTAGGCTGCTTCTGCAGCATTAATGTCATGGAACAACTGAAGTTTCCTGTGATTTTGTTGGGGGTGTTCGGACAAATACACCTTACTACCGTCTGCATGCACTGCCAGCACGGTCTTGAGGGGTCGCCGAACCTGTGCAGGGTGAGAGGATGTGCAGCAAAATGAAACATGCAATGGCTGGGCGTCATCCAAACCAACAACACCAAAAGTGATCAACGATAGCGATGTGTGCCTTCTTCTGCTGTTTGAATGTGTGCCTTGCTGCAGTTCTCTGTGGTGATGGTGCACTGGTCACGACCAGTGTAGCCAAAAGTCCACTTCGGTCGCTGGCCCGATCATGGCTGCTGGATACTGGGTTCATGGCTTAGAGCTGTCTTGTCCACACGCTGGGAAAATACTTCTTAGGTTGCAATGACATGGGCTGCAATTTCCGTGCTGTGAAGCCAACTTTGAAATAGGTTGCAATGCATGAGCCACAAAGTGTCTGAGATTAAAAAAATCAAGACACAACAAATGAAGCAACAGTTTGCCAGTTTGCATGCACTCATTCTCCCATCCACAAGTTTCTCTTTCCCAGAGTCTCCTCAGCCCCAGTGATATTTGCAGAAGTAGCTCACGGCTCCTGCAAATGGCCGGTTGTGTTAAGTAGTGAATGGGTCCATGACAAAGGTCTAACACTGAATCCCTGGAGTGATTCTCAACCCATGGAAACCTTTGGCCTCAAAAGAAACGTGTTCAGACCCTGATCCTATATCTAAATCCATATATGATATGTCTATCTTATATAATCCTACTATATATTATTGTATATTATTGCATCCTATTGTCACAGAGGATCTTTTCATTCCAGCACCTGTTCCCAATTCCCAAGGTCTCCTCATTCCAAAAGCGTCCATGTTTGCAGTTCCAGCACCGCTCTCCTGCAAGTGTCTTGCGTTCAGTACTGGCTCAAAGACAGGGGTCTAGAACTAAATACCTGCAGGGAATTCATTCCTTTTAAACCTTTGGCCTCAATTGAAACAGGTTCAGACCCTGGTGCAGCTATCCACCCACAGTTCTCCTGTGCGTGCTTATCTTGTAGCTTCCCATTGCCGGCGTGTGATGTCGAATTCCAATGAAGGTTCACGTATTTTTTCATGTTTTGCTGAGCTTTTGAAATGACCTGTGTTGAACAATAATTGCTTTAGATGATTTTACTGGGAGCCAAACTCTCCTCATGGTCAGAATGAATAACGGAATCACTGTATCACTCAAATTCACAAGCACATTGACACTAAATTAAGACCCCTGCTTTTGGGGGCGCTGCTCGGTGCACTGTCCCCTGGCCGCCGAAATTTCAAACAACGGCTGTTCAAGCCCCATTTCCAGCTCCAAGCACGGCCTTCAACAGTGCCCTCTTTGTTCGCCTCCTGGTGGCGAAACAGCATTGTGAAAAACATCGGGCCCAATGAGACCCAACCAGTCCTTTTTCATATTATCTCGTCTGCTCTGTAGCGACTTTACCCATGCAGCTCGTGCCTTGAAGCTGTTGAGGGTGAACTCTTCAAACAAAATTAAGTTAGATCTTTTAGCTGTATGGGTACATGATGTAGGGTCTGAGCTTGTATCCTTTGATCATTTGTGTCTTAATAGCTTAACAAACCCAATCGTATTTGACTTTGGACCTTCAAAGTGGATTGAACACTGCTTCCATGACAGTGCTCAGCAATTTGTTTTCATAACAGATCCACACAAATTAAGTTAGATATCTAAACATATCTAAACCATTCCAACACCGTCTAGCTTCTACCACAGGGAACCGACATGTCGATAGCTTCCCAGGGTCTTTGTGGAAATCTTTTGGGGGTCAATTGTGGGAATAGTGGAAAAAGGCTGGAGGATTCCATTTCAGACCTATGAGTAACAATGAGCCCCCTTTTTGGATCTTTTAGCTGTATGGGTACATGGTGTAGGGTCTGAGAAGGTATCCTTTGAGTATGTGTGTCTTCATGGTTTGACAAAACCAATGGTATTACACTTTGGACCTTCAAAAAAAGTAAAATATGTTTTCATGATATTTGATGACACATAATGATATATGACGGGTAAATGACAGGTGGCTAGCAATCTGTTTTGGACAACAAACATATTTAAAAACATTCAAAAAGTTACAAATCCCTGCCACCAAAAGTTCAATGTGTGCATCATTGTGCGTCCCTGCCCCTTGCCGAGACGCGGCCACTGCTGAAATCACTGCCAGGCTGAACCATGGAACAGGAGCTCCAGGACTCAGATTGATGTGATCACAAAGAGTGATCGAAACAAAAACCAATCGAAGCAAAACTGATCGAACCAAATCATATGCCCCCCAAAAAACAATACATTCTGCACTTGCAAGGAACGTGAACGACTCGTGCGGTGACTTGCGTTCCGTCTGCTTTAACGGGTGAATGGACACCCCTGCACATCTGGAGCGCCAAAGTTGCAATTTCGGATCCCAGAAATGCATTCCAGAATCGGCGCCGCATTTTTCCTGAGCAGCTTGTGAATGTTTGAAAAACAAATGTTAAATTAGATTCTGTTTTGGTTGGTTGCGGATGAGATTCGCATGGTGGAGCTGGTCCTGGGTCGCTATCCGACATTGCACAGCACACACCGATGAGCAAAAAGTTGAGCCAAAAAAGTGGCTTCATTCATGCCGAGCTGCTTGAAACCTCTGGCCAAGTCTTGACATATCCCCGTTGCTTGTGCCTTTTAGTCTCATGCCTCGATTTTAGCCAGCTAAAACTCCGAACCTACCCCAAAAACAAGGCTGGATAAAATTTGGGCAGGAGGTCCTGCATAGGCTAAAATTTGGGCTCGAGACCCAAAATTTATACCATCCCACTTGGTTTGTAGAGAGATATCAGGCAGATAAAATCCAAGGGTTTGACGTCTATTCGGCCGAGTCAATTTTTGAAAAATGTGAGGTCTTTGCAGGTTATGATCCTTGGCTGCTGATGTTTTTTTCTGTCAACGGGGCCAGGACAACATATGCACGGAAGAGTGCAGTTCCGGCTCAATCCCAAAACGTGGCTAGCATGAGCCCTGTGGATTTGGAGACCTATCGCGCACAATGCCCTCCAAACAGAACGTCCAAAATCCCTGCTTGAACTGTTTCATGTACCAAAATCCCTCCTGGATAAAATTCCGTGGGACTGAGAGTCAAGAACGTGTAGAACTTTTATGTTTGATAGTAAAGGTATCCGGCGAATAAAATTCCGATACAACCCCAAAATATAAGAAACAGCTACTGGGATAAATATGCGGTGGAAGGTATCCAAGGTACCGGCTGGCTATTTTTTTGGGCTGGACCCTCAGGATTTCAGCCAGGGGTAAGCATCAGGGATTTGACATCAAATCTACTCTGCTGCATCCAAATCAAAATACAAATTTTGGGTCATGATTTGTGTTGACCACTAAGTTGAATTATATTGACCTATTTAAACCTTTTCTTGGGTCGTACCTTATTTTCAATCAAACGAAATGAGATTAGTGAAGTCGGCTGAAAAAAATAAATCGATATATATATATATATATATGTGAATATATAAGAACATATGTGTAAATATATATGTATATGATTGTATGTATATATATATATATATGTAATTACGATTAATTATGTGTATATATATATGTATATATTATATATATATAATTATATATATATATTGATGTATTTTTTTGGGTGTAAACATGTCCAGGGTCTAGAGTGAAATAAATGTGTGGGGTCTATAGTAGTACGAGTTCTAGTTCAGACCCTAGGTGACCCACCCCCCAAGGCCCCAGTCCTATAGACCCTAAGTAGTTGAGGGTATGTTAATAACATATCTGGTTGGTGGTTGACCTACCCCTCTGAAAAATGATGGAGTGAAAGTCAGTTGGGATGATGACATTCCCAACTGAATGGAAAATTATAAAATTCCATGGTTCCAAACCACCAACCAGATATATCCTTATTCCTTCACGTAGGGTTTGCAATGAGTTTTCGATGGACATGTTTCGTTTTCACCTTACAAATCTGATTCTTTCCTGTGACATTCTCACCTGTATAGCCCTAGCGCACAAGCAAAATGACAAGTACATTACCCAAACAGCATTTTTACTGACTAACATTACCCAGTCAGTTGTATCAAAGTAACACCCAACAGTACCCAACTCACCAAGTCGGTTTCCCCTACAAGCGACCCAGTAGCGTACCTCTTGGTGCTGTTGTTCTTTTTTCAAACGCAGCACTTCATCCTTGGTTTGGCCTTTGCCGAAACACACCTGGCGGGAAAAAGATGTCGAAGTGAAGAGTGCAGCGTGGTGACCCCAATGCCGTTGTGCTTGTGGGTGTATATATATATATATACCCCATTACCTCTGCGTCGTTATTTCATGTTATTTCATGATATAGCTACAATTAAATCGTAGCTATATTAGCTATAAACCAACTTCGCTAAGTAGGGGGCATCACCATTGTAGTCGGATCAGGCTTCCTAAACCTATGGAACTTTATGTTAGTTTAGGCCTCGAGATAATCCAATCATTCCCCTCCTAATTTCTGCTAGAGGATATCTCATTGGTAGAGTCACTTGGATGAGTATCCCATTTAGTATTGTTCAATGACCCATCTATTTGTAATATATATATAATATTATATACCATAACTATGTAATTATGTAGGGATAGTCCATAGAAACCACTGGGCTGAAAACAACGGTAGCATTTTGCTTATCATTGCCCACCTTTTGGAGGTCCTGGGATGCAGGTTCTGTAGGTTCCAGGATGCTCCCAGGGTTTAGTGACCTTGCAGGCACCTGGCAGACATGATAACCCTAATATGGTGAACCTGGTGAACCCCACTTGGTGGTTCATCCCAGGAATCGTAAATGGGTTATAACTTGAAAACCCCAGTTTTTTTTGTGAACATTGCCCCTACAAAACGCCCATTTATGATCAGGGTTATAACCTACTTACTAAGTCTTACTAACTGGGATGAACCATCAAGCATGATAAACCTCAAACTCGGAATTGCTTTAGCCTCATCTATCTTTGGTGAAATTGGAAGTTGTTTATGGACTTAGGTTTACACCACATTATAGAAGTTACCTAGCATTACTCCTATCCCTCTTGAAGGAAAACCCCGAACCACCCACATATGTCACATAAGGGACCTCAACATGAACAAATCCATCCATGAATAAACGGTGCTTCTCTTTAGCGGGATATCAAGTGCGATGTCTTCTTTCTTTCAGAGTCAACGTGCGATTCTTCTGGGAAAATGATGGCATATAATTCACCAGCCTAGATCAAGGCAAGTATTTTTGACAACCACCTAGAGGCAGATCATATTGGAATGGGTCTATATACGAATCATCATGAATTTCCTGTACGGTCCGGGGGTCAAAAAAATGACAATTCTAGCAATTTCTTGCCCATATTCCAGGGCCGAACATATTCCATGCCAAAATAGCTGGGAAATTTCAGGGAATTGCGAAGACCCCTTTCAGGTGAAATTTGTATTTCATACAGTTTGCCAAGTATTCCTTTTCTTCTGGCACGTACGTTGTCGACTGCACATGTTCTTCCCCAAAGAAGATCCTTACTTTCAACAATTTCTGGAAATGTCATAATTAAAAATGTTGAGCTTTCCAAAAATGGATTAATAATGTTCTTATGGAAATTTGTCATCTACACTTTTCACGATCCCAAAACCCAATTCATAAGCTTTAAGCTTATGTTCTGGCACGCTTGGCTGGCCTTTCATCAGCAGCGCCATCCCCATCTTTCTTGACATCTTTGTGGCCCCGCAAAGAGCTCTGCACAACAGGATCTGGGAACACAAATCATCGACGATCCTGTTTTCTTCCGTGCAAAATAATTCCACCGATAGAGTACGATGCCACCCCTGGAGTGCGCTAATTTTCTGGAATGCGAAAATAAAACAGTATGCGTGGCCCCCTTCGACCTTCCCCATGAATCCAACACCAGTTTTTTCCATCATATACCAGAAAATTATCACATTTCACCCTGCTGAGCTTTTTTTTTCTTTTTTCTTTTTTTTTTTTGGCCAAAATTGCCTGGAATGCGATAGTATGTGCAACTACAGACGTCTCACGAAAAACCTCTACCTTTCCCATATTCCAGAAAACGTGATTCCAGGCGATTTTAGCCAAAAAAAAAAACGAAAAAAAAAAAAAGAAAAAAAACGAAAAAAACGAAAAATTACCGAGTACGAAGATTTTATGGAGTGCGAAGATCTTGCAGAGTGCGTGGATTTTATAGTATGTGCGCGTCCCTAGCTGTGGAGTGCGATGTCCCATGTGGAGTGCGAAGAATTTGTGGAATGCGAAGAATTCCGAGTATGCGTGGCTGGTATAGAGACCACATAGGGAAATTTCGCGGCCAGAACCAAAATTCCAATCCCAAAGCCGGCCCAAACTTCCAGGGGCACACCAGTGGGTTCTATTTTTCCAAGTTCACCTTGGGTGAGGTCCCGGGGAAGAAACTTGCTAATTTTTACTTAGCCAACCTTTAAAAACGTTACCTTTGACAACCCTGTCCTTCTTCTGTAGACAAATGAGGAAACTTCCTTATCAAAGCAGCCTTCAATTCATTCAACGTCCACAGCTCCTTTGGAACGACATAGGGGATAGAAAGCTGTGGAGGGGCATTCAATGGATTCGCCGTGGGCCAACTGTTCCCTCCAGATTGAGCTGAAATGCCTATCAAAGTAACATACCAAAACCCAGGTCTGGAGTACGATGAAAACATGGTATGCGAAGATTTTCTGAATATGGGAATGTTGCCTTTAGAACAATGGCCGTTCATTGAAAGCCTTGTTGAGCCAGTTTGTTAGCTAAATATTCCTCTATAAGTCCAATAGCTCTGTTTCAAAATATATGGAGGTGTTCGAAAAATGGGAGTATTACCAAATCATCCATCTTAATAGGATTTTCCATCAATAAAAGCATCCAGCTATTGGGGTAGCTCCATTTTAGGAAACCTCCATATGTCACGCAAAGCTGGGTGCCTTGGAAAAAGGTCACCGAACCACTTCTCCGAGGCACTGTGTCTTTGGCAAACTCACCCGTGATGTCGCCAGTTCCAAAGCCAATTGTAACCTGGTCGCAGGTGCCTCCCGATGAATTTCCAAGCTGATTGAATAACGTGTGGGTAAAACGATATACCCTCCAGTAAATTAACATAGACCCTGGTAGATAGGGGTTGGAAGATTAGTTTCCTCTAAAAATTGGTGATTTTCAGGTTTATGTTATTTTACCAGAGGGTATAATAAATCGCCCATGACTGGGAATGGTTTATGCCACCTATAAAAATGGTGATGACTGGGCCATGGTGCAAATGGCATTGTTTTACCCACATTAAGCTGTGCCGATTTGGAACACAAATGATCACGAATCAAGGACACAGATCGTAAACGAGAATCATCAGTCATCAAGGGTCAGGCAATATCTATTCATATCTATTCATGTACGTTTTGAATTGACAAAAATAACAGAACCAGCAAAATATTCATAGCCAGAATTTTATTGTCAATCAAAGTAAAAATTATTTGGAATATCTATTTAATAATAACTTTCGAATATAATAAATA